AAAGTCTGCGTTTCAATGACTGAAAGCCTTAAACCAGGGGTCTCAAACTCAAGACACCCCTGGCCCGCGACTTCATTTTATGTGGCCCCGCAAGAGCTTGCAAAGAATATAATACGTTTATTATATGGTTACATGCCACTTTACAGAAGCAGGTTGCCCATAAACTACATGTCCCACAATGCATCTCGTTTTGTGACATGCACACTGAAGAGACTTGCAATTATTTGCCCTGGACTTCTGCTTTCAGACGTAGTTAATTGCTAAGTTATTATCCTATCCGATAATAATCCAATTCAGAGGCAATAATGTAATATAATACATTATTTTATATGTATATTATATATTTATATAGTTACAACCGGCCCTTTGAGTGCAACCTTTATGCGAATGTGGCCCGCGATGAAATTGAGTTTGACACCCCTGCCTTAAACAAAACTGCAAAAAAAAAGTTCACAAATTTGTATGAATGGTCGTAGTGGCCAAACGGTTGTACTACAGCTTCCGTGACAAATACGTTTTACCATTGACATCTGTAAATCAGTGTATCATTTTTTTGTAGCTAAATAAATTACACAGCACGATCACTTTTATAGCCCTTATTTGAAATCATTAGGGTCTGCAAGTTGTAAAAAGCGTTAAAAGCTGAATCCAGAGTTGTTTGCCCATATTTCATATTTGCCCAAAATCAAAGTCAAGGTTGCGTTCGTTCACTTTGTCGAAGCTGTTCTTCCTGTGGATCTGTTTGAAGTGTTTACGGAGAACCGGCAACAGATATGAGTATGTTCTTAAAGTCTTAAAGCGCAGAGCAATAACATACAGCTCATCTGCTTGAAAGCAACTGTTTGTAAGCACATGGACATCTCTTCACATGGAAGTTTGAAAAAAGTCTTCCCAACTCAGGAAATGGAAACATCTGAGGAGCATCTTAGCTTCTCGCATATATCATCCAGCTGTGAGTTTCTCAGGACTGTTAATTAGATTGATAATATTCCACCAGTGGGAAAGTCTATATGTAAATGACTGAAGGCATTCAACAAAAATGTCATATTTGCCCAAAATCAAAGTCAATCCCCCCGTCCTGCAGGTTGCGTTCGTTGGCGTTGTCGAAGCTGTTCTTCCCGTGGATCTGTTTCAGGTGTTTACGGAGAACAGGCTTGTGAGCGAACACCATGTCGCAGTAGTTGCATCGGTGCGGCTTGTCCCCGCTGTGCAGGTTCAGATGATCCAGCAGCGAACACTTCTGCGTGAAGGTCTTCCCGCAGATCTTACACTGGAAGGGCTTGATGCCGGCGTGAACCCTCATGTGTCGGTGCAAGTTCCCTTTCTGCGTGAAGGTCTTCCCGCACAGCAGGCACATGAACAGCTTGTGCATCTTCAGGTGGTTGGCGTAGTTCTCCAGCTGCCGGAAAACCCTGGAGCATTTGGGGCACTGGTGGTACCTGTAAGGAATAAAATCAATATATATATGTGCCGTAACTTTAAATTAATAACACTGTTTTATTCTGTAACCGGATGTTCACGACATTGTCGACACACTCGACTTCCTGTCTGGCAGACAGTGTTTGTAGCATTAGCATGTAGCTAATATTATTTTGTGTACGTGAATATAAGGAGAATGACACGTGGTGTTGCACACTAAACACACTGTCTTCAACTCTCACTTATTGACGCTGCAATACTATTATTAGGGAATGTTTAAATGATAACAGATATTAGAAGATTGTAAAACTAACATCAGAAAACGACAGGACGTGCCTTGGACCCGCCCCCGTCGACGCTAAAACAATGGGAGAAGACTACAGATGATAAATATGTGACACAAACAGGAAGTCGGTCTCTTTCTCATCCCCTGCGACATGGATTGGAGCAAGCTCAGCCGGGCTAACCTTTTGCACATTCATTGTATCATTGTATCATTGTTTTATTAAACGCTGTTAACTTGTAAATAAGCTTCCTGGACTCTTTTCAGCTAATCCTAAACTCAGTTTGTAGAAAACCCAACATACCACTGCAAGGGTTTGTCGTAGTTCCTCTGGTGGACGCTGTGCTTCTCAGCAGGAGGTGATGGAGGCGGGGGGCTCACAGGACTATGGGGGTATCCCGACACCCCGGGGGGCGCCGCAGTTTCGCTGCAACGACTGTCCACGGTGGAGTTGATGAGGGAGTGCTGGGGCTCGTGGGAGTGCAGGGCGGGAGGTGGGCTCCTGGGGAAGTGAGCGACGGAGGAGTTTTCTGCTTCGTCAGACACCGATTCTACTTTTACGATTGCGATATCAACGTCAGCCTGCTGCTTTGGACACCTGCTTAAGATCTGAGGAGGGGAATTAGGCTGTATAATCACATCATCATCATCACTATCACGATCATCTTCCTCGTCGTCCTGCTTATTCTGGTGGACAGTCCGAACCTCCTGCTCTCTCTTGGAAAACCCCTCTTCCTTCTCTCTTCTCACCTCCACTTCTACTTCCAGCTTGCGTGCAGGTTTGATAAACTTACTGAGAGCCTCAGTGCACTGCTCCACAATGTGGCCCATCTGCAGGAAGCTGGCGACGGTCAGATAATGCACCAGCTCCAGCTCGGGAAACTCCAGCTGTCCCGTGTAGCAGGAGAGCAGCAGCTGCCGGCCCACCTCCGCCTCCTGGATCATGGAGATCTGCACCTCCCTGGAGTCCTGCTGCAGGATGAACTGGTCCCTCAGGAAAGAGGATCCGGCGGCGAACACCACTTTGTGACCGGGGACCTCCAGCTGGTTGATGCGAACCGTGACGTCACAGAATCGCCTCTGGTGTCTCAGGAGGTTCATCTTCTGCAGCATCGAGTCGCCGAATGTGGCGAAGCGGAACTGCAGGATCACCTGTGTCTGAGACATCGTGGACCGAAAGCCAGAAGCAACACACGATGCACCTGTAAAAGGACAAATTCAGAAATAGTGTATATTTGATCATTTTACTTAAAAAAGGTTTTTATTTAAATATGCACTAATAAAAGTGTGTGCAAATAAAGCACATACAGTTATTAAAGATATACTGTAACTTCACACTGTACATTTTACATTTATATTTAATTTAATATGCCATCCTTGCACACTAAATGTAATTAATATCCTACTTTTATATTGTGTTAGCTGTAATTAAGCCCTTAAATTGTGTTTTATTTGTCAGATAGTTTACAGATTTTAACCTTACGGTCAACATTTATATTTTGACTTTTTTAGTTAAATTTGTTCTTCTATTGTGAGATGTTTATATTGTATAATTGTTTATTTTCTACTCTAATGATGTGTAATACTTTGTTTTACATGCTGCTGTGAGGAAAACATTTCCCAATTTGAGATTAATAAAGTATATTTTATTTGGTCAGAATCTCATCCCACCTGACCCCCTCATGGAAAACGTGAATGAGAACCAGACTTAGTTCGAAAAACGTGTGCATTTTAACAACAGCAAGCGTGTATGTTTCATAAGCTAGCTAACGTTAGTTATTCAACAGTTAAACAAATACCATTCTGTCTTAATATATCTTCGGGAGCAATTTCCACTCTTTATTTCGGTGTTTTTTAGTGGAAAACTAAAACAATGCTAATCGTATGCTAACGTTGTTAGCCTTTAGCTAACCGTTAGCTCAGGTGACTTCCTCTATTCATGCGAGTGTAAAATAGGCGATAAAAAGGAAATACAGTTAAAAAGTGTTTATATATAAAAGCCGAAATACAAATGATGATAAAACACGTTTACAAAACTATACTTCTTATAGTATTTCTCGGGTTTTTTGTCAAAAAATACATTAATAGGAAACTAATATGAAATCTAAAGGGAGTTTGGAGTGGACTGCAACAACACCATTGCTAAAATAACGTTTAATGACTGGCTTTCTTTTAGGGGAAATATGCAATCTGTGTATGAGTCTTTGTGTAACAGAAACACACAAAATAATCTTCTTTAAAGTGACTCTCAATGCCTATAGCTTAATGTAAACATAGCACCACAAATCGCCTCCATGTTTACATCCGGCCTGCTGCTCCACTCTGCAGGAATCTGAGGCATGCATGCAACACTGCGGCTAAATAACTACTTATTTAATAATGTTTTCACTTTACTGACACAGTAATAAGTGTTATGTACCTGTTTATCCTTTATAAACCAAACCGTTAAAGGTGGGTTGTCTTCGGCAGCACTCTGGCTCTCTTGCTTCCGGGATATGAAGCTGTTGCTCCGGATGTAAAACCCACTTAAAGGCCCAGTACAGAGCAAAGGTAAAGGTGTAGATTTAGTAGATTTAAATAAGCCAAATTAGGCCCACTTTTAATTGAAATCTACATATGAGAAAACTTGATCATATTAGGATTATTAGACCTACAATTTACTCTTTATAATAGAGATATTTTCTAGTTTATTTCCCAATATCCCTCTAATATGCTCTAAATGTATCTTGTGATGAAGTCTGTCTATAAGAGAAAGCTGGAAATCCAGTTATTTAAATCACTGTATATACAGTGTACAGTGTGTTTAGATATGAATGAACTGATATGTATACATAACAGTGGACTATGGTTTGATGTACCAAAAAATAGGGTTTATTCCCAGAGGTATCTCAAAAGAATTAGAATGAGAAAAAATGTAAATTACCTCTTTTAATTCTACTAATTAAAATATTTGGGACGAAAACCCTTCTTTTTTTTGTTTAGTGCTCAACACTGACATTTTCAAAGATTTTAGCAATTAGGGGTCGATACACAAATAAGAAAATAATTGAGGACTGAAAAGTCTTATACCGTTTTTAATATATTTTCCTACCTAAGAGTGTGATGCAGCTTTTTACTGGTCACAAAACAAATCCATTCATAACATTAATTATTAATTAAGACATGAATTATTGTTTTTAAATGCAAAATTATGCGTTAAGGGGAAACACGTCTAACAATAAACATTAAAACACAAATGTCTGTTTTAGAAATTGGTTTCTTCTAATTTCAAGATTCACATCCTATAAACATTCAAGCATTTATGTGGTGAAAAAAACTTTATTACAATTATTTGCGAAATGTACATAAATATTAAAATGAAAAAAAGGACAGGACATCATGTGTCATGTCCTCTTGAAAAACCTAGAAAAAAAAAGAGCAGAATCAAATAATTGTGAGTTTTTTCTTGCTATTTGCATTAAAATCCTATATCATCCCATCCCATAGTATTATCTTCCATACCAGCAGAAACTGTATCCACCGATAATAACAAAGGCGACCAGTCCTACAGCTGCAACAGCAGACAGAGAGGAAACCCTCAGGACATACGAGGTACCTGCAACGAGGGAAAATACATCCTTTATTATCCTTGAAAGTTTGTGAATTTGAGAGGAAAATCTGTGAGGCCTGCCGACATTGAAAGTACTTTAATTTGTAGGTATTTTGTGCAAGACTAACACATGTTGTTCTTTTGATATTTTTCTAAACTCGTAAATACATTCTGCTGTCTGTCGCTTTCTCAGCTTGAACAAAAAACCTATACAAAACCTAGTCATGCAATAAAAAAGCATAAATGTGAATGTATTTTTTTATAATTAGTAAATAGAGAGGCGAAGTCCCTCCCTTTCCGGGGGACCTCCATGGGACCTTATTTCGGAAAAATTATGTATTGAAGTCAATGGAGAGAGAAAGATTATCTCTCGATCCTGTTTGAATTGAGCCACGAATTACACATATGATGTTTGTCAATTTAAAAGATAATTTTGCAAGTCAAAAAAAAATGTGTCGTAAAACTGTGAAGTAACACTTTTTTTGTGTGAAACCGCTCAATGAACTACATCTCCCGTCTCGCACCACACACCAAGACGGCCGTCACGTTGGCACATTTCACTTCTTTCTTTCAGAATGAGGCGGAAAGTATTAAAAGAGGTGAAAATCACTCCAAGTCTGGGCATGTTGAGAGCTGTACATACACACAAGGGGAGTTAGTCGGTTCCTAAGAGCCAGCATGCGGGACCGGGATTCTGGGATTTGTAGTCTTTCTAGTTGCGTATTTTTCATAGTCTTATATTTCAACAGTTTTACGACAAACTGTGACTTTTTTGACATGGAAATGATTTTTTAAGATTGACAAACATCATATGTGTAATTCATGGCACAATTCAAACGGGATCGAAAGATAAGTTTTCTCTCTCCATTGACTTCAATACATAATTTTTCCGAAATAAGGTCCCATGGGTCGGAAGTAGATGGGCGGGACTTCGCCTCTCTATACATTGCATGTGTTTCTGCTGCAGTCATAATTGTTTGATACACCACATGCTTCAAAGTCTCATGCATGCTTGAATTATTAAATGACATCTGTTTCTCAAATTATGTGCAGTTGCTCCTTGAATTGGAAGAATTAGCCCTGGAAAATCCTTGAAAAGTTCATTAATTTAGTATTTAAGAAAGTGTTTGAGGGAATTACCTGTCACTCTAGCCCACACGACACAGGAACTTTTAAAAGCCTATAGGAGAGAAAACATTTAACAAGTAAGCTGCAAAATGTAATACGGTTTCCAAATCAATGCATTTTGTTACTATGTTAGTCACACCCACTGATTTCCACTGACTGACAGCTCGTAATATGATGTAATAACTCCTGCCGCTCTGCAGCGGTGCGTTAAAGAAGCCTCCGTAGAGGAGTCCGTCCCCGACAGTGAAGTTCATCTCCGTCCCGACATGTTGGACATCAAACTGTCCCGTGATGTACTCTGCAGAGGATTTTGATTTGGGGTCTGAGCTGGCAGGAGAGGAACAGTCAAACATCATGATCCCGTCCACAGGAAGCACAAACACCTGATACACACTGCAAATAAAGAAGAAGAAATCATTAGCAGAAATAGAGTAATACAGTGGTGATGTATTTTTGTAGGCTGACCAGGATGGTAGCATTGCAAGGGCTCCTTTGACAGAAAGCCAATATGAGTTTTCGTCGTAGAACAAAAAAATAAAATCTTCAGCTTGTGTTAATAATAATAATAATACATTTTAATTGGGGGGCGCCTTTCATAGCACCCAAGGACACCTTACAGGGCATAGGGTAATATAGGGAAATTAAAACAGTGGATTTAATGAGATGTCAGCCGGGGTAAAACAAGACAAACAACAGGAAATGGACTACAAAAGGACACAGAAGGACACAGAAGGACACAGAAGGACACAAAAGGACACAGAAGGACACAGAAGGACACAGAAGGACACAGAAGGACACAGAAGGACACAGGGTACAGGTTATAATGAGAATGCCAGTTTGAACAGGTGGGTTTTGAATGTTGTTATGGAATCAGACTGTCGGATATGTAGTGGCAGGGAGTTCCAGAGTCTGGGAGCCGAGCAGCTGAAAGCTCGAGCACCCATGGTTTTGAGGCGAGAGCTTGGGATGGTGAGAAGTCCTACGGAGGAAGAGCGGAGGGTGCGGGAGTTGTGGAGAGCTTTATATGTGAGTAGAAGGTTTTTGTATTCAATACGGTAGCATACAGGAAGCCATGTGTAGTTGAGTGAGAATGGGGGTGATGTGGTCGGATGAGTTGGTGCGGGTGATGATCCGGGCAACAGAGTTCTGGATTATTTGCAGTCTATTAATGAGTTTGATGGGAAGGCCAGTCAGAAGTGCATTGCAGTAATCAATCCACAGACCTTATTTCAGACCCCATTTACACGGGAACGTTTGCGTTTACGCACCGAATTCGCTTTCAAAAAAGTCTTCCGTTCACACGCATTCGGCTCATTTAACTTGTCTGTTCACACGAGACCGCTCGAAAGCGCTCGAGACGCTGTAGTACATATGCCTGGCCTGTAAGTGGCGCTGTACTTTCGCCACAAAATACACCAAAAGCAGCGAAGAAGACCCCCGAGCATGGTTGCCATGGTTTCCCTTCTGTTTATGCCCCGCGGTGGATTTAGCAACGTGTAGTTCATATAGTTCTCCATGTCCACTTGTTGCTGATGGTTGTGGTAGAGGAGCTGTAGATTTTGCACTAACATCTGTAGCATGGTCAGTAGCAGTAGCACTAGCAGTAGCACTAGCAGTAGCTACTGACCATGCTACAGCAGTGAGCAGCAGAGGTGGGGAGAGGCGGGGCTATGGCTCATCGTTATCAGGAAAATGATCGTATAGAGGCGATCACACGGAGCCGTTTGGCCCCCCAGAGCGTTCCGGTTGCAGATCTATCCACCTTGGGACCCGTTATCGTTTGCGGGGTCCATTTCCGCATTTCCGTTACGGCCTCGTGTGAACGAACGGGCTATACGAAAGAGAAAAGTTGCAGATACTACCGTTTGCGTTATCGTGTAAACAGTAAAGGATGTGTGTACTGGTTGTTACCTGATCGGGTCGAGTGTGTTTGGAGATCTGCGGAGCCTCAGAGTCGGTACAGGAGTCTCAAACTCTCTGTAGTCCACAGCTAGTGCTGGAAGCACTGGGAAACATTCATATATAACATTATAAAGAAGAAAACATCAGATTAAATATAGTTACATCAGTCCTAAACATATCCACGCAGCTGAGCCTTCATTCTGGGCTTAACTTATTGCTTTAAACTAAACTGCACACGCTGATGCATGCAGGGAAACATGTCATCAGAGTGGAATACATTTAAATGTGTATTTTTCTGCAGCATGGTACCTGTTAGGCTGGTGTTGGTGGTGATGGAGGCGGTGAACCTGGAGGAGGCTGCAGTGATGGAGATGCTGTAGTTTGTGACAGGAAGTAGATTTAAACAGAGCTGCAGCTCGTCGGCTTTAGAGCTCAGAAAACGCTTCCTCTTATCTTGAAAGGACCTCTGGTAGTCTCTGGATCCCGTGTACGTCACCTGAAACGCAGTCAGTCACACAAACCTCCATAAAGAAAGGTAAACAAACTATATGCGCAGAAGCTAATACAAAAAAGACATCTTGAGCTAAGAGTTTACACTTCCAAACATGAAATCAGTGCAAAATGTTTCAGTACATTAAAAGTATTATACATTTTGTATACTTGCATACTTTTCCAAGTAAAAAAGCTTCATCAGGTTTGAAAATAAATTATCCAGCTGAAAGTGTATTCAAAACTAAACAAGGAGAAGCAGTCTTCATTTTTGTATGCATCGCATATCTGAAATACATTCTAGAGTAAATCTCCTGATACCTTGTATGTTTCTGTGTCCTCCTCGTACTTCTCTGCTCTCCACTGCACACAGTTCTCCTTGAGGACACGAAGATGATTTACAGGTGGCTTTATTTCTGTAAGAGATAAATGTCATATTATTATTATTGTTATATTATATATCTCTTTACAAATATTACCAAGTCAATCAATAACCTCACAAAAGAAAGATACAGATACTTCCATGTTCCTTATATGTTGTATATGTTCCTAGTCGCTGATGTTAAAGACTCAATATGTAATCTTCTGCAAATGAAGTAATAAAAGGAGGTAAAACAGCTTCGACTCATTAGTTTATTGTTTGGGATATTTCATGTTAAAAATCAGTGATTTTCTGATGCGATCTGGCTGCGGCTAACGTTAGCTCAGACTGTTTCTCCGATAACTTAAGATCCAGACGTCCCATGAGCACAATCCTTCATTTGGTGAAAATGTCAAGTTAAAAAGCACCAACATGTAAAAAGTGTGTGGTAAAAATGAAGCTTGAAACTGGATATACTGTAAAAGCCAATTTATGACATTTTCTGCCAGCTAACGAATGTTCAAAGGGCATTACAGGAGACCAGAAGAAACATTACCTGAAACAAATGTGGATAATGTAAGTACAAGACTCAATAAAATATATGAGGCAGTGAGGGGAGGGTTACTTAAAAAATGGATCTAACAACGTCCTTTAAAAAATAAAAAACGTATAATCCCATTACATTTAAAATGTTACTTCCAACGTTTAAACATAGCTCTTGACATTTTTTTGTTTTTGTCCTACCTATGCATGTGAGTGTAGCGCTCCTCCACTCTCCAGAGGGGTCACACTCAGAGACGTTGCTTCCTCTCCAGCTGTGGTATCCCTCCTCACATCTGTGCACCACGACGCTCCTGTTGTGCCAAACCACCTCCGAGTGATCCAGGACGGGAGCCAGGCCACACTTAGCTGCAGGGACACAAAGACACTGAAGCGTTAGCCAATCATCTGCAAGTATTATCGGGAATTACTGTATATACGCAGCTTTATTTACTATTCCAGATATAGCATGAATTTAACATTTAGTACAGGCAAGAGATGCACATGAAGTACAAGAAAGTATGATGAGATGACAATACCCACACAAACAAATAATAAGTTTTCTCTTTTTGACATTATTTTTGTATTTTTTTTTCTGTATATTTATTTACTTTGCACACATCTTTGATTATAGTAATTATAATATTTCTATATTTGCTCTTTTTTGAAATGTGTATTCCTCTTACTGTGTTCATGCATGCACAATTTACAACATAGCAAAAACTATGAATGTAAAAACCTACTTGGCAATACACCTGAGTCTAAGTCTGATTCTAGTAATAAAATACAATTTACAAAACATTATTATTCACCTCAAAAACTACAACAAGAAAACAATAAAGAGCCAACACAGGAGAAACAGGGGAACCTTCACAACACAAACATTCATTATTTATGAGAAAGATCAACAAAAACATGTTAAAAATCACAAATATTGACTCTTTTCAAAGTGGAATACATGCATAGATTAAATAAAGATGATCACAGTACCTTTGCACTTTATAGAAACTTCCCCCCACTCTCCTGACAGTAAACATGTGGACATATTATTCCCCCCCTCTTGGTAAAATCCCTCCTTGCACCCGTACAGCCGAACGCTGCCCAGCGATTGGCTGCCGTCCCACAGCAGGTGAGTGTGGGGGAGGGTGGGGGGGTGACCACAGCTTATTTCTGCACACACACACCCATTAGCATGCAATAATAACACAAAGAAAACACAGTAAGTACATGCAGATCTTACATGAACGCTGGTAAATGGAGATATGGAGTACTAAACTCTCTATATATTCTGTTAAAATGTTCCTATGTGTGCCATATATGCAAATAATAATAATAATAATAGGACAACAACTATTTTCTTTACTAATATTTTAAAGCAACAGTTGATCTTTTTTGAGAAATATGCTTTCCTACAAAGAGGAACTTAGATAATATTAGTAATTCAATATTAAATCATCCATCTTGGCTCACTATATCTGCATAAACTACAGGTTATGAACCTCATGTTAAGGGTAAAATAAGGGTTTTTTTTCACAAAAAAACGCAAAGCTAACGCTGAGCCTCTGAATTAGCCACGGGCAAAACAATATTAAGGCTGTTAGCACAGAACTATAGCTATACCGATCGATATACAGTACTTATTGGATCTGCACAAACAAGCTTAGATAACATCCTGAGATTCCACAGATTATAGAAATAAAAGGATCATCACTGAGCGATCTGAACTCGTGACAGGGGAAGCAAATACAGACACGGAGATATGCTCACCTTAGCTGTTATTCTGATCAAAAGTCGTGTTCAATGGCATTAAAACGAGAAAAAACGCGGCTGAAGGTTAATCCATAGGTTATAGCAATGTGTCTGTCACTTTGAAAATAATTATTGATAATCCATAATTCAATTTTTATGCAAACATCGGAGGAGAAAAATTAGCTGCTAATGGTAGCCACCAGAGGCTAGCACAGCTTCCGGTTTTTCTACGCGTCACTATCACTCCTTATTTGGTAAGCTGTGTGTGTATGTGGAACTTTCCCTCGATTCCATTGGCTCTGACGGTTAGAAAGAGATGCCAATAATCAAAATCAAGCAAGGGAGGCCAGAGATATGGAAAATCCACCCAAATGACCCCAGAAGTGTTTTTTTGTTGCTAAATCTCTCTAAAAAGGTAAAATGTCACTTGTTTTGCATCAATCTTGATACAGGGTACTTATTATATGTTGTACTTTGGATTCCTAAAGCTTTTAGTCTACCTTACCATCATCCAAGGGTAGTTTTCACTATAAGTAAAAAAGAATTTTTGGACGGACACAATAATTTACAGTTTTTTACTATGTTCAATCTGAATTTTCTTTAAAATAAAAAACATCTATATTGTTCCGACTTTTCTACATCCAACTCACAGGTTTATCATTACTTTGAGAAAAAAGATTATTAATTTAACCCTTTTAGAAGGGAAGATATGGTCATTTGTTCTGGGAATGTCATTTTCGAGCCTGAGACCTGAAAAACAGGCTTGGGGCCTAACAGGTTAGAAGCAGGTTACTATGGGTTGTTGGCAGAGGTGGGAGAAGTACTCAGATCTTACTCTTGAGTAAACGTAGAAGTACTCAGATATTATATATGAGTAAAAGTAAATCTACTTAGATACTTCCAACGTCTGGTTATTGGTAATGGTTGAACAAAATCTATATTATGCATCCTTTATTCTTTACACTTTGTTTTTGTGTGGTTTAAAACATCACATTATAATGTTTATTTTAAAGGTCCCATGTCATGGCCATTTCCACTGATCATAATTCCATTGTTGAGGTCTACTAAAATAAATGTACACACACACCCGCAGCCTCGCCGCGTCCCGCCGTCTCAGGGAGGAGAAATCGGCGGAGCTGCAGCTGAGAAAAGATTGAGTGTGTGAGGAAGTCTGACGTAACGTAACGGCTCCACGGATTGGTACATTTGGACCAATGGGTCCATTTGGGTATGGGCACGTCACTGTACCCAGGAAGCAAACAATGGAAAAAGAGAAATGTCCAACGAGGCGTTCTGGGGCAGCCTAGACAGGTCTTTTCTGTGTTAGAGTTTTACTCGCTACAGGGTGTACTTTGAGGGTTTGTGACTCTGCAGACCGTTTACATGCAGACAAACCTTCATAACACACAAGGGGACGGGTGATAACCAGAAAAGCATGACATGGGAACTTTAAGCTTTTTAGGTGGAATTTGACTGACAGTGTTTCCTATTTTTATGCTAAGCTACCTTCTAACTATTCAACAGACTGATTTAACAGTGGTTACTCAGCAAGAAAACATGTAAGCATATTTCCTAAAATGTCAAACAATCGCTTTAAATAAGTTTTGCAAATCACTACAAATGAAAGAGTAATGTATGAATAAATCAGTGATTAAACGTTGCACCTTCACACCACAGGTCAGGGTCCTCCCACTCCCCCTCCTCTCCACACAGGGAGGAGTTTCCGAGCCCCCTGCTGTGAAACCCCTCCTCACATCTGTAACTCACGACACTGCCAACGTGAGAGGATCCGTCCCAAAGCATCGCAGCGTGGGCTTTAAGAACAGGCTCTCCACACCTGATCGCTGCAACACAAACACAGCAGGTCAGGTGGAATAATGCTAGGTGTAAAGAGGGGGGCAGACAGCAGAGCGTATAAAAGGAATAGTCCTAACATGAAATAATATACCTCAAATACTACATTTTAATTATAAACTATATGATTATTCTCGAATATAATCAGCATGACACAGTGTGAGGTATTGAATAGAAAAAACATCAATTTTAAGATGAATTATTCCTTTTAAATGAATGAGACAATTTTCACATTATAAATAAATGGATGTTAAATAATATCACTAAAACTCTCAATTACACAATACGCTCTCTGTCCCGTATGTAAGAGGATGCATTATCTCTGTTAATGGAGGCAGGTAAGTCACCTTCACATTGCAGAGAGGCTCCCTCCCACTCTCCTCTGGCCGTACACACAGACACATTTTCCTCTCCAACATTTCCATATCCAGAGACACACTGATAAACCACCAGAGATCCCACTGAGGAGCTTTTATCCCACAGCATCTCAGAGTGAGGGATCTGAGCAGGGACTCCACACTCCACCTCTACAGGGATCAGATCACAGTCGTTCAACAGCAACGAAAAACAGCAGTAAAGACATTTTAGAGGATGTTGTTACCTGTTAGAGCCAGTATTTCGTTGTTTATAAGAAAGGCCACCTAATTGTGACGTCTGTAGTCAACACACTATAAAAGACTACAACTCCCACGGCGCCTTCGGTAAAGGGACAGAGATGGGCGGAAAGACGCTTACCCTTTAAAGGGGACCTATCATGCAAAATGCACTTTTTAATGTCATATACATAAAGATGTGTCCCCGGTGTGTCGGGGAACTCACGCAGCGTCAGAAAATAAAACCCTCTCTCTCCCTCTTTCCTCCGTACCCAAATCTCTAAAAACGGGGCTACAACGGAGCTGATCCAGATTTGCGTCCGATATGACGTAATATCGGAAATGTGGACCCACGGCCCTATCAGAAACGTTGCTATCAGAAACAATGCCCGACTGTTTTGGACGTAATATGGTCGGTGCATGTTTACATTAGCATCGCTAACACTCAGAGCTAACCTGTACTGGAGAGCATGTGTGTGAAGAAGCAGGAAATAAAAAGGAACTCACCTTGTGGTATAACCGGCAAGAGAGAAAGCCTTTGAGCTCCATACTGTTTCAGAGATAATCCTTGATAAACCATGATATGGCGTTTCATCACGGCAGTATTTAGTTTAGACAGTAGCTGCCGGGTCCCGCATGAGCTCAGACCCCTCCTTTTTTATTTGTTATCATTTTTTATTTTGTTAAAGCTTCATACCCCAAATCAGCACTTTTGAAACAGGAAGTGAAATAGAGGGATATGAGGCATGGCTAGAATGGGTGATCTGTTTGGTATTTTGAGCAAAACACTTCATAGACATGTTTTTTATATATTTGTATACATCTGAGACCTATGCTATTGCCTAAAAATAGCATGATAGGTGACCTTTAAGTTATGAGGTTATATAAGCATTATCAAGAAAGAAAGAACACCTACGTTGTTTGTTATTTTATTTGAGTTTTGCCTCTTTGTTTTGAATATTGTAAAGGCCTCTTTTCTTTGTTGCATGTGTAAAAGTTTGTTATTTTATTTTGAGCATATCATCATCTAAACCATCGGAGGCCAAGCAACTCTTCAACTGTAAGTAATTTAAAGGAAAGAAAACAAGTTAAAACATGTCTGTTTAAGGCGTCTAGTGGCTTGAAAGAAAGACAAGGAAGGAAGCCACGACATTACCTTTGCATGAGATGTTGGGCTTCGTCCAGTCACCATGACTCGTGCACAATGATATGTTATTCCCTTCTTTGTGATTAAACCCTGTTTTACAGACGTACGTCGCTGTGCTTCCACGAGTGGAGCTGCCTCTCCAGAGCCGCTCCGTGAGAGGCAGAGAGGGAGGGTCCCCACATGATATCTCTGTGACAGGAAGTGAGTTTAAAACATATATTATATAAAAAGAAACACAATGCTTTTAGAGTGCATTAAATACAAGCCTCATTATAATGGATTCTTTGCAATTTGACAAGATGAAATGCTCCATAGCTTCTCTTGATAACTGGGCTTAACTCCCACTGCACATTTTACATTTATATTCAATTGAATATTGAATAATCCATTTCTAGCACAATAATATCCTGCATTATATGTATGTATATATATTTTTTTAATCTTTTTAATGCTATTTTATTTCAGAAATATTTTGGACTGTTTATTTCTAGTGTCTTCATTTCTCTTATTGCCATGTTTTTCAATTAGCGCAACTTTCGTAATACCCTTTACACAATAATTCAAGACAGAAAATACTAAAACATACCATTTCATATTTAAAAAACCACCACATTTCAGGGGTTCACTGGAAAAAATGTTGCTCCAAAAACAAGTTAAACAGTAAGGAAAACAAGCACACGAACGCGCACATGACCAATGAGGGCACGAGATAAGTGCGTGCACGAGATGGAAGGCTGACAGGCAGGTAGGCCATCCAATTATCTGCCGCGGGCCGGCTCAGATGATTGGTCGTGCTTTTTATGTATTTTTTGTCAAAGCATTTATTCATTGCTATCGGGATGTTAAGAGCATTCCATGGAATATAACAACAAGTGTTTCTGAAGTGAATTACCTACCCCACCTTTAACAAGGTGATGCATTGTCTAAAAACCAGACCTGATATCTCACTGCAGTGTTACTTCTGAAGTTATTGTGTCTTATATCAGGCGTAAAGACATATTCTGACTAGATATTAGACACATATACTTTGAGTTTTTGTGGTGTTTCACTGCAGTTTGAGTTACCTTGGCAGGTCAGAGTGGGGCTGCTCCACTGACCGTGTTCACCACAGATGGATGAATTATCTCCTCCTGTGATTTTAAAGCCCTCTCTGCAGACAAACAGCACTCGGCTGCTCGGGGCTGAGCTTCCGTCCCACACTTGCACAGTGGACTCAATTATGGGAGGGCTTCCACACAAAATCTCTACAAGAAATAACATTTAAAATCATGAAACGTGAGCAGATTCAGATGAACACACTTTCTGTTTACTGCACTCAGAAATAAAGCAGCACAACAAGCCAGTAAACAGAAATGTATTCACATGCAACAGGTTGTTCATGAACATTCATGGAGCAGTTGATAGGCCTGAAATAATAAATGACCCATAAAATAATAGGCAACTACACTCTTTTGGTAATTGATTAATCGTTTTTTGGCAGATTTCATGCAAATATGGCGGTTTGATATCATAATAGAGTGATAATGTTTGGTTTTAAAGCTGACAAAATAACATTTAACATTTAAAGCAAAACATTACATTTGAAGAAACTACGATGGACGTTTTTTGACATTTTTACCAAGAGATAATTGGCAGAATAATCCATAGTGACAATAATCTTAAATTGCAGCTCTACTGTTCATATCAGTTTGGACATTGTTTGATTTTGATATGCATTGAGACAACTGATTAAAAAAAATAAGACATTGGACTTTATCGAATTGAAATGGAGAATTTTTACTATATTCAGATTTATTTTTTGACAAAGAATCAATTAATTTAGAAAATAATTGGCTGATTAATCGATTCATTGATCAAGAAAAAGCACTAGTCAGGGAAGTTAAAGTTCAGATATTATTAATAATATTGTAATGTATGGTGGCCATAAAGGTTAAGACAAAAACTAAATCACAAGGACATTTAAAAAAGCACAAGAAAATATCACAAAACACACAAAAAAAATCACAAAAAAAGAATATATATCAGAAAGAAAAAAAAACTTAATTAAAATAAAAACAACTATTTCAGAACAAAACAAAATATCAGAAAACACAACTATATTTCCCAAACAAAAAAACCTTTAATGTTTGGGAAATGTTTTATATTTGTGTTTTCTGAGATGTTGTTGTGATTTGACCTTCAGGGCCACCGTAGCAATCAGCCTCAAACACCCTGAAATCAGTGAATCAGTGAGTGTACCTTTGCAGAGCAGCGGCGGTCTCTCCCACTCTCCTGCAGCGTTACACTTCGACACATTTCCTTTCCCCACATTATGATATCCAGAGTTACACTGATAAATCGCCCTGGAGCCCGGCCTGGAGCTCTGGTCCCACAGCCTGAGAGAGTGAGGGGCGGCTGGGGGGGGGCCACAGTTCACCTCTGGGGGCCAAAGCATCCACATGATGCATCAAAACTGAAATCACTGGAAATCTGCAGTGGAATTGTGAGTCTGTGCTCCTGAAACTGGTTAACAACGCTCTGAAAAAGCTACAGACACCATTTACTATCAGATATCACCATGACACATTACCTTAATACTACCAGAGGTGGGAAGTAGTGGAGTACAAATACTTCGTTACTGAACTTAAGTACATTGTTCTGGTATCAGTACTTTACTCCACTACTTATTTTTCTGACGACTTTTTACTTTGACTTCTTACATTTTGAACCCAAATACCTGTACTTTCTACTTCTTACATTTTGAACACAATCACCTGTACTTTCTACTTCTTACATTTTAAACACAAATACCTATACTTTCTACTTCTTACATTTTGAACACAAATACCTGTACTTTCTACTTCTTACATTTTAAACACAAATACCTATACTTTCTACTTCTTACATTTTGAACACAAATACCTGTACTTTCTACTTCTTACATTTTGAACCCAAATACCTGTACTTTCTACTTCTTACATTTTGAACACAAATACCTGTACTTTCTACTTCTTACATTTTGAACACAAATACCTGTACTTTCTACTTCTTACATTTTAAACACAAATACCTATACTTTCTACTTCTTACATTTTGAACACAAATACCTGTACTTTCTACTTCTTACATTTTGAACCCAAATACCTGTACTTTCTACTTCTTACATGTTGAACCCAAATACCTGTACTTTCTACTTCTTACATTTTCCAAACAGGCTGGTTCCTTTAGTCTGAATGTGTGTTTGGTGGCGTGATCATTATTATTTAGAGTCATTGCGTGCCTATTGATTTGAACACGATCCGTGTATCCATCATTTCCTGGTCTTCTCTAAAGAAGAGGGACCAATGAAAACGTTGTCATGTTGCCGTTGTTCAGCATGGAAACATTCATTAGCTAACAATGACATTATTGTTCTATTAATATAAAGGGAGGTCAGGTACTCTTTAAAACAGCTGCTAGTTATGGGTACTTTTTACTGAAGTACATTTCAAAGCCCTCTTTACTTTTACTTGAGTAAAGAAGTTTAGTCAGTACTTCTACTTTTACCAGAGTATTTTTAAACACGAGTATCTGTACTTCTACTTGAGTAAAGGATGTGTGTACTTTTGCCATCTCTGATTAATACTAATACTGATAAACCACTGTGTATAGTCTAGTAAACATTTGTTATATTTAGTTACCTTCTTATGTTTGTGTATATATTCTTATTAAATGTATTGTTGCTTTAAGGTATGATAGGATACTTGACTATTTTTATTTAATTAATTGTGCAATTAAAGACTTTGGCCATTTTGTGATGTCACAACTGTTTTTTTGTCTTGTGTAACCATTAGCCAATCACCAACCAAGGTTACCCCCCGCACCTTATCACCTAAATCTCCTCCTAGAGCACCAGTGTTTTTTAAACCAATCACATCGCAGAGGGGCGTGGCCAGCAGAAGTCATTAGCATTTAAAGCTACAGACACAGAATCAGCACTTTTGAAACAGGGGATGCTGCAATGATCTGTTTGGTGTTTCAGCCAATCAGAGACAGGTTCTGTATATATCTGAGACCTGTGATATATTGATGAAAAACAGTATAATAGAGGACCTTTAACGAACACTTTGAATGCAGGATTTACTATTTTTACGCCCATATCTGATCCTAAGTAAAGGATCTGAGTACTTGTTATTTTCCCTGCAGGTGTGTTGTTACCTTCACAGCTCATGTTGCCTCCTCTCCACAGGCCGTCAGCTTCACACACAGATCTGTTGTTTCCTCTCCTCCACACGAAGCCCTCCTCACAAACAAACATGGCCACGCTGCCGTACGTCGTCCCTGACACCGACAGCAGCACCGTGTCCTCCGCTGCCTCCGGACGACCGCAGTCTACCACTGAGAGAGGGAGAGGACATCATAAAACTCAAGATTAAATCCAGGTTTTAGATTAGATTAGATTCCTTTATTGTCACTACACAGAGTACAGAGAAATTCCAAGTATTCCCAAAGGTGCAATCACACATAACAGACCGTATAATTTGACAATACAAGCTAAAAACATTTAATATATATACTATATAAAGTGGACCTATGATACATAGAACAGTACGCTAATAAAACAATACAACATTACTATACAAATACAAAAACAAGAACAATACGGTCAAGGCAGTAAAATGTAAACAAGTGGTTTCAGGTGTTCTCCAGAATCAGAAATCCTTTATCAGTCCCACAAAAAAACCTCCTACTGATCATCCTGTCGTATATTCATCAGAGACCGTCAATGAACCAGCCATGTACAAACTGAAGGGTGCTTTTTGACCAAAAGTGGGATTTGTATTTGTAAAAGTGGGATTTGCTCCTATAATTAGGTCTCCATGATAAATTGTTTTGCCAAAATACAGACAGTAAGACCCTTAAAGGTGGGGTAGGTAATTTTGGAGAAACCAGCTCGAGATCGCTAGAATTTGAAAATACACAGCCGAAAAAAATCTGCCACTTCCTTACAGAGCCCCTCCTCCAACACACACGAACGCGCACATGACCAATGAGGACACGAGATAAGTTTGTGCACAGATGGAAGGCTGACAGGCAGGTAGGCCATCCAGTTATTTTAGCCGGGCCGGCTCAGATGATTGGTCGTACTTTTTACAGTACTACGGCTTCCACAGATGACATTTCTTTATGGATTATTTTGTCAAAGCACTTAAGATATTCATTGCTATCGGGATGTTAAGAGCATTCCATGGAATATAACAAAAAGTGTATCTCGAGCCGGTTTCTCAAACTTACCTTTAAGTACTAATATATCCAATTACAGCACAAAATATTGCAGATTCACCTTTGCAGGAAGCTTTGTCTCTGTGAGGGTGGAAGGGCTCGGCTCCGTTTTGGACTTCATATCCCAGAATGCATCTGCAGTCAAAGCTTCCCTCCAGATTCCTGCACTGCCCCCCCTCTCCACAAAGGCCTGTGACCGTGCACTCATCAATATCTGCACGGACAAACAATAAAATATCACAAAACACACAAAAAAATCACAAAACAAAAGAACATATATCACAAAACAAAAACATTACAAAAAAAACTTAATTAAAATAAAAACAAACATTTCAGAACAAAACAAAATATCAGAAAACACAACTATATTTCCCAAAACAAAAATAAACCTTTAATGTTTTTGTATATTTGTGTTTTCTGAAATGTTGTTGTGATTTGACCTTCAGGGCCACCGTAGCAATCAGCCTCAAACACCCTGAAATCAGTGAATCAGTGAGTGTACCTTTGCAGAGCAGCGGCGGTCTCTCCCACTCTCCTGCAGCGTTACACTTCGACACATTTCCTTTCCCCACATTATGATATCCAGAGTTACACTGATAAATCGCCCTGGAGCCCGGCCTGGAGCTCTGGTCCCACAGCCTGAGAGAGTGAGGGGCGGCTGGGGGGGGGCCACAGTTCACCTCTGGGGGCCAAAGCATCCACATGATGCATCAAAACTGAAATCACTGGAAATCTGCAGTGGAATTGTGAGTCTGTGTTCCTGAAACTGGTTAACAACGCTCTGAAAAAGCTGCACAGACACCATTTACTATCAGATATCACCATGACACATTACCTTAATACCAATACTAATAAACCACTGTGTATATTCTAGTATACATTTTTTATATATTTAAGCAATAGCTCACGACAGGCCGTGGTATATGCTCATTATATCACAGCTAAGGGGCGTGGTTCGGCCCGACGCGAAGCAGGCAGTTTGCTTTTCAGCCCAACTGTATACTGCTTTTCTCAGACGCGGAGGGATACTGACTTGTTGTGAAAAGTAACTTACAATTCTACCCGTGGTATACGCTCAGTATATCACGGCTAAGAACCAATCAGATTGCTTGATTTGACTTGTCCGTTTTATAAACTTTAACTACTTTTGTTATATATATATACATATGTTAATAATGACATTTTTGGGAGAAGGGGTGGGATTAAATAAGTGTAAACTTCTTCCCACCCCTTTTCGGATGTGTAATTATGTAGATCATTTGTTTATTTATAATTTATAAGTCAGTAATATTTTTTGTTTATCAAATTGACACTGCTTCAGTTTGTACAATATCATAATTCTGATGTTTCATTTCATTATTATGTTTTTGTATTATTGTTTTACAGATTCGAAATAAATAAAATAAAAAATAAAAATCAAGTATATTATATATTCTTATTATATGTATCATTGCTTTAAGGTATAAAGCAATATTTGAGTATTTTTTGTTCCTAATTGTGCAATTAAAGATTTTAGCCACTTTTTTGTCTTGTGTAACCATTAGCCAATCACCAACCAAGGTAACCCCCCCCCCCACCTTATCACCTGAATCTCCTCCTAGAGCACCATTGTGTTCTTTTTAACCAAATCTCTCTCAGAGGGGCGTGGGGAGGGGCTCCTTATTTTCATCTAAAGTAACAGACAGAGAATCAGCACTTTTGAAACAGGGCTGAAACAGAGGGGATTATGGGATGCTGCAATGATCTGTTTGGTGTTTCAGCCAATCAGAGACATGTTCTGTATATATCTGAGACCTGTGATATATTGATGAAAAACAGTATAATAGGGGACCTTTAAGGAACACTTTGAATGCAGGAGTTACAATTTCTACGCCCATATCTGATCCTAAGTAAAGGATCTGAGTACTTTTCCCTGCAGGTGTGTTGTTACCTTCACAGCTCATGTTGCCTCCTCTCCACAGGCCGTCAGCTTCACACACAGATCTGTTGTTTCCTCTCCTCCACACGAAGCCCTCCTCACAAACAAACATGGCCGCGCTGCCGTACGTCGTCCCTGACACCGAGAGCAGCACCGTGTCCTCCGCTGCCTCCGGACGACCGCAGTCTACCACTGAGAGAGGGAGAGGACATCATAAAACTCAAGATTAAATCCAGGTTTTAGATTAGATTAGATTCCTTTATTGTCACTACACAGAGTACAGCGAAATTCCAAGTATTCCCAAAGGTGCAATCACACATAACAGACCGTATAATTTGACAATACAAGCTAAAAACATTTAATATATACTATATAAAGTGACTACAAATTGGACCTATGATACATAGAACAGTACGCTTATAAAACAATACAACATTACTATACAAATACAAAAACAAGAACAATACGGTCAACGCAGTAAAATGTAAACAAGTGGTTTCAGGTGTTCTCCAGAATCAGAAATCCTTTATTAGTCCCACAAAAAAAACCTCCTACTGATCATCCTGTCGTATATTCATCAGAGGCCGTCAATGAACCAGCCATGTACAAACTGAAGGGTGCTTTTTGACCAAAAGTGGGATTTGTATTTGTAAAAGTGGGATTTGCTCCTATAATTAGGTCTCCATGATAAATTGTATCGCCAAAATACAGACAGTAAGACCCTTAAAGGTGGGGTAGGTAATTTTTGAGAAACCAGCTCGAGTGCGCTAGAATTTGAAAATACACAGCCGGAAAAAATCTGCCACTTCCTTACAGAGCCCCTCCTCCAACACACGAACGCGCACATGACCAATGAGGACACGAGATAAGTTTGTGCACAGATGGAAGGCTGACAGGCAGGTAGGACATCCAGTTATTTTAGCCGGGCCGGCTAAAATGATTGGTCGTGCAGTACAGTACTACGGCTTCCACAGATGAATTTTTTTATGGATTTTTTGTCAAAGCACTTAAGATATTCATTGCTATCAGGATGTTAAGAGCATTCCATGGAATATAACAAAAAGTGTATCTCGAGCAGGTTTCTCAAATGTACCTTTAAGTACTAATATATCCAATTACAGCACAACATATTGCTGATTCACCTTTGCAGGAAGCTTTGTCTCTGTGAGGGTGGAAGGGCTCGGCTGCGTTTTGGACTTCATATCCCAGAATGCATCTGCAGTCAAAGCTTCCCTCCAGATTCCTGCACTGCCCCCCCTCTCCACAAACGCCTGTGACCGTGCACTCATCAATATCTGCACGGACAAACAATAAAATATCACAAAACACACAAACAAATCACAAAACAAAAGAACATATATCACAAAACAAAAACATTACAAAAAAAACTTAATTAAAATAAAAACAAACATTTCAGAACAAAACAAAATATCAGAAAACACAACTCTATTTCCCAAAACAAAAATAAACCTTTAATGTTTTTGTATATTTGTGTTTTCTGAGATGTTGTTGTGATTTGACCTTCAGGGCCACCGTAGCAATCAGCCTCAAACACCCTGAAATCAGTGAATCAGTGAGTGTACCTTTGCAGAGCAGCGGCGGTCTCTCCCACTCTCCTGCAGCGTTACACTTCGACACATTTCCTTTCCCCACATTATGATATCCAGAGTTACACTGATAAATCGCCCCGGAGCCCGGCCTGGAGCTCTGGTCCCACAGCCTGAGAGAGTGAGGGGCGGCTGGGGGGGGGCCACAGTTCACCTCTGGGGGCCAAAGCATCCACATGATGCATCAAAACTGAAATCACTGGAAATCTGCAGTGGAATTGTGAGTCTGTGCTCCTGAAGCTGGTTAACAACGCTCTGAAAAAGCTACAGACACCATTTACTATCAGATATCACCATGACACATTACCTTAATACCAATACTAATAAACCACTGTGTATATTCTAGTATACATTTTTTATATATTTAAGCAATAGCTCACGACAGGCCGTGGTATATGCTCATTATATCACAGCTAAGGGGCGTGGTTCGGCCCGACGCGAAGCAGGCAGTTTGCTTTTCAGCCCAACTGTATACTGCTTTTCTCAGACGCGGAGGGATACTGACTTGTTGTGAAAAGTAACTTACAATTCTACCCGTGGTATACGCTCAGTATATCACGGCTAAGAACCAATCAGATTGCTTGATTTGACTTGTCCGTTTTATAAACTTTAACTACTTTTGTTATATATATATACATATGTTAATAATGACATTTTTGGGAGAAGGGGTGGGATTAAATAAGTGTAAACTTCTTCCCACCCCTTTTCGGATGTGTAATTATGTAGATCATTTGTTTATTTATAATTTATAAGTCAGTAATATTTTTTGTTTATCAAATTGACACTGCTTCAGTTTGTACAATATCATAATTCTGATGTTTCATTTCATTATTATGTTTTTGTATTATTGTTTTACAGATTCGAAATAAATAAAATAAAAAATAAAAATCAAGTATATTATATATTCTTATTATATGTATCATTGCTTTAAGGTATAAAGCAATATTTGAGTATTTTTTGTTCCTAATTGTGCAATTAAAGATTTTAGCCACTTTTTTGTCTTGTGTAACCATTAGCCAATCACCAACCAAGGTAACCCCCCCCCCACCTTATCACCTGAATCTCCTCCTAGAGCACCATTGTGTTCTTTTTAACCAAATCTCTCTCAGAGGGGCGTGGGGAGGGGCTCCTTATTTTCATCTAAAGTAACAGACAGAGAATCAGCTCTTTTGAAACAGGGCTGAAACAGAGGGGATTATGGGATGCTGCAATGATCTGTTTGGTGTTTCAGCCAATCAGAGACAGGTTCTGTATATATCTGAGACCTGTGATATATTGATGAAAAACAGTATAATAGGGGACCTTTAAGGAACACTTTGAATGCAGGATTTACTATTTCTACGCCCATATCTGATCCTAAGTAAAGGATCTGAGTACTTGTTATTTTCCCTGCAGGTGTGTTGTTACCTTCACAGCTCATGTTGCCTCCTCTCCACAGGCCGTCAGCTTCACACATAGATCTGTTGTTTCCTCTCCTCCACACGAAGCCCTCCTCACAAACAAACATGGCCGCGCTGCCGTACGTCGTCCCTGACACCGACAGCAGCACCGTGTCCTCCGCTGCCTCCGGAGGACCGCAGTCTACCACTGAGAGAGGGAGAGGACATCATAAAACTCAAGATTAAATCCAGGTTTTAGATTAGATTAGATTCCTTTATTGTCACTACACAGAGTACAGAGAAATTCCAAGTATTCCCAAAGGTGCAATCACACATAACAGACCGTATAATTTGACAATACAAGCTAAAAACATTTAATATATACTATATAAAGTGACTACAAATTGGACCTATGATACATAGAACAGTAGGCTTATAAAACAATACAACATTACTATACAAATACAAAAACAAGAACAATACGGTCAACGCAGTAAAATGTAAACAAGTGGTTTCAGGTGTTCTCCAGAATCAGAAATCCTTTATTAGTCCCACAAAAAAACCCTCCTACTGATCATCCTGTCGTATATACATCAGAGGCCGTCAATGAACCAGCCATGTACAAACTGAAGGGTGCTTTTTGACCAAAAGTGGGATTTGTATTTGTAAAAGTGGGATTTGCTCCTATAATTAGGTCTCCATGATAAATTGTCTTGCCAAAATACAGACAGTAAGACCCTTAAGTACTAATATATCCAATTACAGCACAAAACATTGCAGATTCACCTTTGCAGGAAGCTTTGTCTCTGTGAGGGTGGAAGGGCTCGGCTCCGTTTTGGACTTCATATCCCAGAATGCAGCTGCAGTCAAAGCTTCCCTCCAGATTCCTGCACTGCCCCCCCTCTCCACAAAGGCCTGTGACCGTGCCCGTGCACTCATCAATATCTGCACAATAAAAGAGCATGTGACATTTAAATAATATATAAAAGTCCAAACTTTCACATTTGTAGTCATCATGTTTAAATCTCTAATATTGGCAGTGTTGGCCTTTTAGTACGGTGGCCCTGAAGGTTAGATGTTTTTTTTCTAATTGTTTCTGTCAAATGTTTTGTTTTATAGTTTTTTTGTGTTTAGTGAAATGTCATGTTTTTTAAAATGCTGTTTTGTTTTGTGAATGTTTGCCTGTTTTTGTGAAATGTCTTAGTGTTTTCTGAAATGCTGTTTCTTTTTATTATATTTCTTAATTTCAGAATTAGAATCGAGTTTATTGCCAGGTACATTAACACATACAAAGGATTTGCTTTGGTGTCTGGTGTTGGTAACATAGTATTTTTAGGAAACTATTTAGCATTTAAAAAGTATAAAGACAAGTATTTACATCACATATACAAAGCACCTTAACAAAACTAAAACACTTAGGACAATGAATACTGTTGACATTATGATTTTTTCACAGTGGATACAAAAAGTATTTGCAAAACAAAAAGTATTTACATCAAACATAAGTAGGTAGTACTTAGAGATAATAAAATAAATAGATGGAAAATGTAAAGAAAAAAGACAAATGGAGGAGATAAGAAAAGGTTGCATTTTGTTTTTTTCTCAAATGTTATTGTCTTTTCTGAAATATGTTTGAATTTCATGAAATGTCGTTGTGTTTTGACCTTCAGGGCCTCCTATTTAAAAGCACTGTTAAACAATAAGATAAGATAAGATGTACTTTATTGATCCCAAATTGGGAAATGTTTTCATTGCAGCGGCATGTTGCCGGGAAGATAACAAATCTATAAACTATCTGACAAATAAAACACTATCGAAGGACACATTTTTAGTTTACACAAATAGGCGCTTTCACACCAAGTACTTTGCCGTACTTAGTTCCCAGCACTTAGTTCCCTGATGCCAGCAAATACAATGGCAGCTTCACAAAACTTTTCAGAGTTTTACGGGGCGTGGGTTGCAATTCGCCCAGCCAATAGAAATTGGAACTTCTTTCTCCCCAGGAAAGTACCTGAACTAAAAGGGAAAAGTACTCCGGTGTGAAAGCGCCTAATAGCCGTTTTCACACCAAGTACTTTGCCGTACTTAGTGCCCCGGCACTTAGTACCCCCATGGAACTAAGTACAGATCGCGTTCACACCGGAATAAGTTCCCTGAGGGAAGATTACGCAAATGAGCCGCTGACGTCACTTCGTCTTCTTCTGCTTTGGGTTTACTGGCAGGCCGCAAACAACTTCACGGTGTATACTGCCACTCGAAGTCCCCGGCCGGAAGTCCCCGGAGTTGGGGACTGGCTTCAGTAGAAGCTGCTGGGACTCCCAGCAGCTTCTACTGAAGCCTTCCGAGTAAATCGCCAGAACGCCGACACCTCCTCATCACTCCACGGCTCCCATGTTTTTTTTTGTGTTGCCATAAGTTAGTCTCTCTCCGTTGGTGCGCCGGGCTAATGCTAATGCTAATAATGCTAATGCCAGCAAATACAATGGCGGCTTCACAAAACTTTTCAGAGTTTTACGGGGCGTGGTTTGCAATTCGCCCAGCCAATAGGAATTGTTACTTTTTTCTCGCCAGGAAAGTACCATCTCTCAGCAGGCACTAAAAATGGGGGTAAAAGTTCCCGGCACTAAGTACTCTTTTTGGTGTGAACGCAAAATAAGGGGTACTAACGGAACTAAACGGGAAAAGTACGGGGAAAAGTACTCCGGTGTGAACGCGCCTAATGTAAAGCAGGGTATAGTACTATTTACATTAAGTGTGTAAGGCATGGAATATTAAATTAATTATAAATGTAAAAAGGTGTCCATTATCATCTGGCCGGGGACAACAGCTGGAAATTAGCAATGTTGGCTAAAGCTGCCCCATTTACTGTTCTTTGTGATAGTTGATCAATGTCCACGACACAATAAACAAATAAACTAAACTAAAAAACAGGTACGCTCACCCCGGCAGTGCGTGCCGTCGTTGGGGGTGAAGACGTCCATGTTGTTGGACGGGGTGAATCCGCTCCGGCAGGTGCAGAAGTAGCTGCCTTGCGTGTTGTGGCAGTCGGTGTGAAGCCCGCAGATCTTACTGGCTCCAATCTGACACTCGTCTTTATCTGACACGAAAACACATTTATTAACACCTCATGAAGGTTTTACCAAAAGCTGGATTATCCACAGAGGTCCCTTTCTTACATACATATCTAGACCTGCTGATGTCAACCCGGTATCACGGCAAGACGTGAACATGTGACGATCTACCATGCTGGGAGACGTGAAGATGTCACGATTTCGTCCCTTCAAACGTGACAGTTACACGGTATTGTTAACATGGCCCAACCAGTGGAGAAATACCCGGAAATGCCAAGCAAATGCTCTACCATGACGGTCGGTTGTTATTGTCAATATTAATATAATAATGATTTATTTTGTAATAGTCACACTCGATTTCGCCGATTTTCTTGTTGCCCCAGCTGGTCGACACCTCTTTTAGCAGAAACAAAGGCTACATTAATGTATTAAATCGATGTTAATCCATGTGTGTGGAATTAACGGACGTGACGTTATGCGATTGCGTTGCCAGGCAACAGTTTGGGTTCATGTTAATTTACAAACTCTTCAACTAGAACCGTAGTTATATTTAAAAACATTTTAGAAGGCCTCATGAAATACTTTAATGTAAATTCAAATGTAAATGTTTTAGTTGACCGGACTTCCTGTTTCCGCCGGTCTTCGCTTCCCGGGCTTGAAGCTGTTTACATGTTGTTCTGATGCTAAATAAAAGTCAGCATGGTAAATCGTCACATGTTCACGTCTTGCCGTGATACCGGGTTGGCTGATGTATACAGATAAATCACAAAAAAAGCCCCCTTTGATAAATGTGTAATTTGTTAAATTGGGCTATATGATCGATTTTCTGATCACTAAATATCCAGACATCAGATATCAAAAATTCTTTCTACTTATTTGTAATTATTTATATTTATTTCAGAGACCTTTGACAATATATTGGCCCATTAGGAACAAACAGAATTAAGTTAATTAACCTCTATAAGGCAATTACATCTCACACACAGTGACAGTAAATGGACTGGATATTCTAAACAGAAGCAAACAAACCTTCACACACTAAAAATGTTTAACCACATTTGTACTCTTATTTCCCCATTTTAACTTGTCTTACTGTGGTTATGCATATGTATGGTTATGTAAAACAACATGAGAATATTGTAATTTAGATGTTCTATTAAAGCATTTAAAGCATAACATTTGTATAATTGTTTTAACGAGCCAACCCATGTTTGACGACACATAGCAACTTAGCAGCAGAATACAAAGCAAAGAGGTGTACTGAAAACCCTCCTGTTTCAATAATACCTTGGCTATAAAACCAACAGAAAAAGATAATACAGAATATGTAGCACACATGAGTTGAGCCCATTTGAAACTAATGCACCTTACAGTGGTTTGGTTTATTGCACTTATTGTAAGTCGTTTTGAAAAACAGCATCGGCTAAATGTCATGTCTAACGAGGTGAATTTTTTATATTGTCATCGTTTTAAGATGAGACCCCAGGAGCCAAAATGGCCGCCGACTTAAGAAACAGCTTCCTCAGTTTCTTTGGTCAGATTTAAAAAAACAACTGAATTATAATTGTAACCCTATTAGGTTGTCTTACTTTCCACAGCAAGTAAGACAACCTAATAGCATACAGTTCACACTACTATGCACATGATAAGTAAACACACAGTAAAAGGATGTGTCCTACCTTGACAGTAAGTTCTCCCATTGCCAACGAACCCGTACTTGCAGTTACAGACTTTTCCAGATCCGTCTGATTTGTCATCACATGTAGCTTTAGGATGGCAGCTAGCACACACATCCAGAGAGAGGCCGTCTACCTGCATCTCTGAGAGGATGAACATAAAGTATATCTGTCAATATCTTTTTTTTTACAGTGTCCAATCATACATGTATTCATTTAGTCTTTGGATCAATTTAAAAGCACAGGGATATTACAACAGAAAGTCAGACAAAAGTCAGACAAAATACATTTAACGTTAAGTCATTGAGACAGATGAAGTGGAAACATAGGATGAAAATTAAAACAGCTAAATTGGATTAAAACAAATCATTATAGATTTTAAATATACATGTGTATGAGATTAGAGGACTGCACTCCACTAGAGAAATGTTTAATCTACTATCGCATTAAAGCTCACAGGATTGTATAATTTAGTTTAATTAATTAACAAGTAAAAGTGAGTTTATGAAGAATCACTTTAAATCTTGAGTTTAATGGAGATATGTTTCAAAGAGCTTGCAAAATAAATATATAGTAAAACATGCTGAAATAGAACAATACAATTACAAGTACTGTGTATAAATAATTATTTGATTTAATACAAGCAAGCAAAATCAGGTTATCAATATACGTTCATGTCAAATCATGTCATTTAAAACGAGTGCTTATTGCTTTTGAATGCTTTGATGGACTCTTTTTGGTATTCAATATTCTCAGACAATATATATGTATTTATTTGTATATTAATTTAAAGTATGGAGTATTTATCCTACTGTTAATTTAGCATTCTGTCTCATCTGATAAGATTTTACATTTTAACTGCATCGTGTCATTTGCACTATTTTCTTTCTTTATTTAGATTAAATATACTTTTTGATCCCAAATTAGGAATTGCTTTGTTACAGCATGTAAGGCATTGAGTTAAACAAATTAAAATAAACAGTAAACATACACATATCAACAGTATAAATCAAAAAATCTATAAGTATCTTTAGAAAACACAATATACAAAACACACAGAATACATTAGAATATACTGTAATTGTCAACTTAGACCAACAATAACAAAATATAGGATACTATACAAATACATTTATTTTTATGTCTGAAGTTCCTATGCACTCTGAGACTATTCTACCCGGTAACTGTTGTGCGTATGATAACTTTTTTTTTTTAAATGAATAAAATGTTGTGTTTTTTACCTGCTGTGACGCAGAGCAGGAGCAGCACGATCATGGCTGTGTTTCTGTCCTCCATCCTCTCTGAGAGTCTCTACTCTTCACAAGACGCTCCTCATCCTCATATTCTCCTCTTCTCATTCTTCACTTCCGTCTTGAGTGGATTAGATATGCAGGATCTGAGTGGGTGAGTCGAGGTCGTCGTGAGAGAAAGACAAACACATTTTTTCTCAATGGTTTTCCTACAGCTGCTGGTTTTAATCTGTCTTCCTCTGACACTTTCAGTTACTCTGAACTGCAGAGTCATGCTGCGGCCGCTGATAACAGCCTATATTTGGCCCTAAAGAACCTGTTGGACGAGCACTGTGGTAGCAAAGATGTCTTTTAAAAGCACTACACTGCATAATGTGTATGTTTAAAGGTGAAAATGAGGCATTATCTTCTTCAATATGTAGTGTCCTCTGCTCTTCACACAGTAAAGCAGTGATGTCAAGTGACTAAGTACATTTACTCAAGTACAATTTTAAGGAACATAATGGATTTTCTGCTACTTTACACTTCTACTCCACTACAGTTCAGAGGTAAATGGTGTACCTTTACTCCACTACATGTATTTAATACCTTTAGTTACTTTACAGATGTGGATGAATGATGTGAAATATAATCAAGTGTTAAATCAGACTTTAGTTCCACCTGGAGTAAATTCACAAGCTACCCTGCAGTATACAAAGTCATTCAAACTAGCTGCACCTTTACCAGCTTTGAGAACACTTTCATGATCAATCATTATAAAACATATCATATATATTATTCTGAAATGGACCAATCTGCACAATGACTACTTTTACTGTCGCTACTTTCACTATATTTTGATGATAATACTTTTATACTTTCACTTGAGGAACATTTTGAATGCAGGACTTTTACTGTAACAGAGTATTCCTACACTCTGGTACTTCTACTTTCACTCAAGTACAAGATCTGAGTACTTCTACTTTTACCCAAGTACAAGATCTGAGTACTTCTACTTTTACTCAAGTACACGATCTGAGTACTTCTACTTTTACTCAAGTACAAGATCTGAGTACTTCTACTTTTACTCAAGTACAAGATCTGAGTACTTTTTCTAATATTACATTTGCCGATGACTGCACATAGTCCTTCGATTCTTCTTAGCAACAGTCTAGTAAAAAATAAATAACAGACCTCTAAAATGTCCAAATTGACCAATAAGAATCCAGTATTGAACTAATACGTGTAACTATAATAACTTGTGATATTTGGCTATATAGATAAAATATTTATTGGTTAATGTGCTTATTTGCGTATATATCAAGAACAGAAATCTTCACAATGGATAACGTTCAATATTATAGTTTTGTTTAGCTGCCATATAAATGTCTAAGGCTTTTACAGAGGGAATCTCTTTGTATCACTCCATAAAACTGAAAATACTGCCATAAAATATGTATTTTCTGCCTGTTTTTAGCAACAAATGTATAAATTAGTCTATGAATGGTATGTGAATGACAACCTCTGTAAAAAGCTTAAAATAGGAATGAAACTGGAAACTGCTGCTGACGTAGAAGTGTTTTTTTTTACACTACACACATTTAAGTGTCGTGGGCGCTGAGGGGAGTCAGTTGGCATTACGTTTTTTGGGGGCGAGATAAGAGTAGTGGTCTGTTATCTTTTAGCCCAATATGGTCCTCAGTGGGGTGTCTCTGTCACTCAAACCAACCAAACACAGCCTGATTAAACCCAGTCTGTCCTTCAGAGCATATCAATATATTAAAACACCCTAAATTCAGAGGAAGTATGAAGAAATAAAAAAAGAGAATGTGGTGAGAAGAAGTCAAACTGAGTCATATATGTTGGACATGTAAAGCTATAAGTGGCTTCTGGGAGATATCTATAAGACAACTGTCAAATATGTTTGGTCTTTCTCAGAATTAAAAAACCACTTGAAGACAGCAGATAAAATTAAGAAGAAAAAATACAAGAGTCGGTTGAAAGATGCTAACGTTATTAGCTTGAAATGGAAGAATCTTGTAGGAAATATATGAAATGGAAAAAATTGAAATCTAGTTCTTATCTTTGTCAAAAGATGAAAAAAATGGGTGAGGTGTACAACAATCTCCACATATCAACAGCCCTTTATCATTTTCTATATTGATAATGTTGGGCTACTGTATAAAGGAACTACAGCACGGTCACATGACTTCACGTCACCACCGCTAAGCTAAAGGCGGCTAATGTTGGGCTATAAAGGAACTACAGCACGGTCACATGACTTCACGTCACCACCGCTAAGCTAAAGGCGGCTAATGTTGGGCTATAAAGGAACTACAGCACGGTCACATGACTTCGTGTCACCACCGCAAAGCTAAAGGTGGCTAATGTTGGGCTATAAGGAACTACAGCACGGTCACATGACTTCACGTCACCACCGCTAAGCTAAAGGCGGCTAATGTTGGGCTATAAAGGAACTACAGCACGGTCACATGACTTCACTTCACCACCGCTAAGCTAAAGGCGGCTAATGTTGGGCTATAAAGGAACTACAGCACGGTCACATGACTTCACGTCACCACCGCTAAGCTAAAGGCGGCTAATGTTGGGCTATAAAGGAACTACAGCACGGTCACATGACTTCACGTCACCACCGCTAAGCTAAAGGCGGCTAATGTTGGGCTATAAAGGAACTACAGCACGGTCACATGACTTCACGTCACCACCGCTAAGCTAAAGGCGGCTAATGTTGGGCTATAAAGGAACTACAGCACGGTCACATGACTTCGTGTCACCACCGCTAAGCTAATGTTGGGCTATAAAGGAACTACAGCACGGTCACATGACTTCACATCCAATCATTTGGTTTAGAAGCTGGTTTGATTCCTTCGCAGGATGGTAAATGCCATACTTCAAGCGGTTTTCAACAATTCGTGTGTCCAACGTGTGTTCATTTTACACAACATAGCCAAAGAAAGTGTAACACAACATTTGGTCATTGGAGAAATATTTATTTGTAATTAACACCTGATCTTTCTAGACCTGCGTCACAGAGTCATTCATTCAGATCAAATATTACACAAACATGCTTTTTTTAGTATCAAAAATGTATAATATACATTTGTTAAACTTGAAAATTATAATTTTATCTCACTTGATCAAATTCTTTCAATGTTCGGCAAACTAAAAGTATAACTCTTCCCAGCATACATACATGTCATGATTATCTAAATAAGGTGTCTTAGAAAAAAAATCACTTTTTGTAGTGTAGGTTTCTGATGGCAGAGTGTTTTTGATGTCTGGTAATTGCTCTGTTCAATCAGTGCCAGAACATTTGATTAACATATAACTAAAAAAAAAAAATCTTACATTGGAAGAGAATAAGGGCCCAGCATGACCTCCTTGTGTTTTTCCCCCTGATTTCCAGATGTTTTACCTTATGTCACCAAACCTATACATCTTCCCTGCTATCACCAGCAACAAATAAAAAACCCAGTATGAAAGAGTGTCTTCTCCGTCATAAAAGCACTACAAGGTTAGTTGTTGAAAAATAAAGTTGCAATGTTGGACAAAAAGTGGAAATGTTAAGAAAAAACAACATTTTAAGATAAAGGAAAAGTTATTATTGAGAATAACTACATGTTGGGAGTAGATGAAAGCGTTAGTCTACTGAACACTCAACTATTTTTGAAATACAAAAGGGAGAAGTCAAAATCTTGGTCATAAAAGTGTGCAGAAACAGCAGCGTTTCTTCGCCCCTGCAGCCTCCTCTTCCTCTTGTTGAGGCTCTTCCTCAGCCTCCTCTTCCTCCCTGCTCTCGGACAGCGAGCCGCTGGAGGTGGACAGCAGTCGTTCACAAACCAGATCTGCTGCCCGGCCGTCCATCACAGTCAGATCAGTGACCGTCTTCTCCCTCAGAGACATGTCTCCGTCATCATCGTCGTCTATCAGCACAAACTCCCTCAGGTAGACCAACCCGTGGAGACTGTGGCTCTCTGCGGACTCATGCACGTCCACAAAGGTCAGAGTGGAGGTTTCTGTGAGGGCCTCGTGGGGGTCCGTGGAGTTGTTCTCCCCTGAATCCTGTAAGAAATAATCAATATATTGTGCCGGAACTTTAAATGTCACCTATTATGCACTTTTTCATGTATTTTCTACATCAACATGTGTCCGCTCTTTTTCATGTCTCTTCTACATCAACATGTGTCCCCTCTTCTTCATGTCTCTTCTACATCAACATGTGTCCCCTCTTCTTCATGTCTCTTCTACATCAACATGTGTCCCCTCTGTGTAAAGAGATTCTGAAAGTTTCAGGAAAAAAGATTCTCTCTCGTTTTGTCCTGATCCATTTATATAAAAACCTGTCTGAAAATGAGCTGATCAGATTTTGGCCACTTTATGATGTCATAACGATATTTTGGCATGTGTAACCATTAGCCAATCAGCAACCAAGGTACCTCCCCCCCCCCCCCCCCCCCCCCCCACCTTATCACCTGAATCTCCTCCTAGAGCACCATTGTGTTCTTTTTAACCAAATATCTCTCAGAGGGGCGTGGGGAGGGGCTCCTTATTTTCATCTAAAGTAACAGACAGAGAATCAGCACTTTAGAAACAGGGCTGAAACAGAGGGGATTATGGGATGCTGACATGATCTGTTTGGTGTTTCAGCCAATCAGAGACAGGTTTTGTATATATCTGAGACCTATAATATATTGATGAAAAACAGTATAATAGGGGACCTTTAATAAATACTGTTAAACTTTTCAAGAAGCTTCCTGATCTATTTCAGACCAACTCTTGGTTTCAAACAAGAATACCTGACAGTCCAGAACCCAGCTGGAGTTCCTGCAGCTGCCCTCCATCCTCTCGTCCTCCGAGGCTCCATCCCTCCTGCTGTGAGGGCCGTTTTCTACCAAAGCATGTCCGTTTGCAGGGTGCATCTTAAAAGCCACGCTGGTGAAGTCATGGTGCAGCTGAACACCGCTGCCCCCTGCAGGGGAGGAGAGGGGGGGGCCTTTAGCCTGCTTCTTCATGTATTATCCCCTTTACTGCACTGAGAAAACACAGAGAACATCAAGTTATTAATTTACTTTAGGAATAGTATTACTTTGAAGGCAAGGCAAGTTTATTTATACAGCATCTTTCAACACAAGGTAATTACAAGTGCTTTACAAAAATGAAAGACATTAAGAAACATATTATAAAATGGCATTTAAAAACACTCATTTAAAAGCAAAGATAATAAAAGTTGAATAACAAAGGTACATGAATTAAAGTGACAGTGCAGTGTGAGATACACACATCTGAACTGTTTAGGGCTGACTCTCAATCATTGCTAACTTTTTAGCAGAAATAGTTTTCTATGACCTCACTGTCTTTCTACTTTCTTTTGTAACATATCCTTTAGTTATTTCAAGTGTTTCATGCTAAACGAACCCCCCTTTGGAAAATTCTAAATGCAACCCAATATTCGGAAAATTCAACGGATCCTGGCCATATTTGTGTAGCATATCAAATTAATTTGCTCCCAGACATTCATGTGGCGTGCTAGTTTTGAAGCAGCTAAATCCTTTTAAACTGTGTAATTCAGCTTAACATCATATTCATACTAGTATAGATATCTTTAATCTATTTTATTTTATTGCATATTCCTATGTTACCTCCTTATATGAATATTATAATTATTATTAAAACATTTTATCTGTGTGTGTATATTGCATTTCTCTAGCCGAAGCTGTTCATATGACCATAAAGCCTTTGTATTTTAACCTAAATATACACAGAATGTATTATATTTTATTTTATTTTTATTGTTTTATACATTTTTTTGAATAAATTCCATTTTGTATATGTTTTACTTATTCCTGTATTCTACTCTGGTACTATTTTAGCTATTTTTTTAATGTCTTAGGTATACTGTATGTTGCATTTCTGGAGCCGTAGCTGTTGTTCATATGACGATAAATCCTTTGAATTTGAACATTAATATTCACAGAATGTTTGCAGGTTTCTCCTTTAACTTCCCCCTCTTTGTATTTTTTGCATTATCAGTCAGTTATTCACTAGCACAGTAACTGGGGCAGGTATTAGAGGACGTTACGAACAACAGGAAGAGAGAACAAGCTGTCATTTAGTATTGGCCTCGCTGAATAAATAAATGAAGACGGTACTTTTAGAAGAAGCAAAAAATAACTTAAATTCCCCGAGGAGCAGCTGTTTGAAGGAGGAGACAGATGAAGTCATCCAAAGTGCTCTAACCAAGGAGTACGTGTGTGTGTGTGTGTGTGTGTGTGTGTGTGTGTGTGTGTGTGTGTGTGTGTGTGTGTGTGTGTGTGTTTGTGTGTGTGTGTGTGTGTGTGTGTGTGTTTTTTGTCAAAGCTCTCAAACTACAGTATACAGTGTTTTAAAACATGTGGATGAGTCATTATAAAATACTTTATAATGTGTTATGATTATTGCTATATAAGTATAATTATATATTGCTATAAGCTGATTATGATAATAATACATTATGTAAATGTAGAAACTTCTACAACATTTACATTTGTGCAATGAAATAAACGCCTCCATTGGACTCTTTTGTTTACTTCCGGGACATAGTGACATCACTATGTAACACTTGTGCTTCTATTGGCTAGCGCTAAAACACATTGCACGTGATAGGCTAAGGGGCGGGACATCTCTAAGCGGTTGACCAATCACAACAGAGTCAGCTAGCTAACCAATCAGAGCAGAGTGGGCTCTGGTTTCAGACAGAGGGTGAAAAGAGGTGCTGCAGCACAGGCAGTATGAGAAAAATAAAGAGCTTTTTGAACATTAAAGCATGGAGACATGTAGAGACACTACATACTGATATACACCTGAACATCAGCAGGAGAGGACTCTTTAAAGTAGAGACACTACATACTGATATACACCTGAACATCAGCAGGAGAGGACTCTTTAAAGTAGAGACACTACATACTGATATACACCTGAACATCAGCAGGAGAGGACTCTTTAAAGTAGAGACACTACATACTGATATACACCTGAACATCAGCAGGAGAGGACTCTTTAAAGTAGAGACACTACATACTGATATGAAGCGGTGTCTGTTATTAGCAATGTGTCATTTTTTTCTATGGCTGTAAAGAACTATATAAATTGTATGAGTAAAATGAAGACATACAAATTACATTTAAACCATTGAGATATTGACACTGAATACAGGCTTTAATGGCTTCTTGCAGAGGAGTGTTTCCAGTTTACGTCTCTTCACGCTAAAAGTGAACAGACTGACCCTCTTACACTCCACTGACTCGTGTGCATGACAGAATTGGGACTATAAATGAATAATAACAGAAACGTTCATGTTAGAGCGAGAGGCAGCGTGCTGAGCAACAATGGATGAAAAATAGATTGGATTTAAACACACTCAGTGCATTTACTCTGCACTCGGTGTGTGGCAGTTCCTGTGACTGTGAGAGGGTGGAAAATGCTTTAACTGAGGCACAGAGAGCGAATAATGGAGGAGAAATTAAACAATAAAGTAGAACAATCTGTGTATTACTTAAGTGTAAATTAAGCTACTTTACCTGATAATTTAGTACCATTTTATACTTTAATTCCACTAAAAGATAATTAATGCACTTTTTACTCCACTACAAACTAGTAAATAGTGTATGCAACAACAACTTACTTAGTCAACTGATCAATTAGCAAGTTTTTAGATAATTAATTGGTATCTATAAACATTACAATTCTTTTGTAGTAATCATTTGTTAATTTTAGATTGTTCTGCATTGGGTATTTTTAGGTTTAATGCTTAAACGACATTTTACTTTCGTAACATTTTCAATGCAGGATTTTACTATTCTTCAGCAAATTAAAGAGTGTATATTTTTAAGCCTAGAAACCTGTTTTCTGTCTATCTAATGCAAACATATTATTGTGTAACAGTCAAAAGAGATTATTAAAATAAATACATTTGAAAACTTAGGCTACCTGCAGCATTTTTCAGAGTAAATTACCAATTTTAAAAATAATTATTTTACAAATGACACTTTGTTAAAAGTAAAACATTTAAATATCTTTTATGGAAGATGTGAGTCAATTCCTGACATCTTTCACCTCTACTCTCTACTCATTTTTGGACATACTTAACCATGTTGTCTTTTAGGATTTTCCTATATTTGTTAACTATAGTTCCCCACTTAGCTGTTACTAGGCACTATATCAATGACAGTGATATAACAATTCAGAATCCTATTCACTGTACAGAAATCTACATTTTCACATAAATCCACTTTAACTCAAGTATATTAAAAAGCTTTTACCTCAGTGATCCACGGTTGAACTCTTCCCCGAGGAGCAGTAATGAAAATCACATGGCCGAGGTGGACGAGCAGCATGAGTCCTGATCTGAAGCTGCTGGAAATTATTCCTTTCTCCTTACTGCACACACATCCTCCTCTAACACACACAAACACACACACGCACGCACGCGCACACACACACACACCCTCCTCTCACACACTACAAACGCTCAGTGTGTGCAGGGAGGCAGTCACGGGATGCTCACTGATTGAAATCACACTACTGATGTTTTCTAGGTGTGTTTATGTGTTTTTACCCAGGATAATATTCTGTTAAAAGGTGTAATATGTTACATTAAAATGTCTAAAATAGACTACACCTATATGTTAAGTTGAGTTCTAACTTTATCCCAAATGTTTTAGAAAAATTCGTCCTTTTAATAAACTTAACATGTGTTTCAAAAGACTGCGTATTAAGGCCATTGTAGGGGGTAGAAATATTTAAAATAACAATAATTAGGAAGCGAGAGAGGGGTAGGCTAATGTTCAAGGACAACACTGAGAAAGTATAAGATCAAAGTGGTGCATTTACAATATATATTTAATTTAAACACATCCTCAGAGAAGATAAAAGTCCCTAACCAGAAGAAAACTTTTGGAAAAACTGTACTTTTCTTGCACATTTACCACTTTAACCTCAGAATATCTAAGTTATTTTTGTCATTATATCACCCACCTTTTAGCATGCAGCTTTTAAATGTCGGTTCTTATTAAATCTATTAGATTTTCTTCATGGGATGTCTGGATCCTAAGTGATCAGAGAAACAAGCTAAGCTAACTTTAGCTTAGCTTAGCCGCAGCCAAACTGCATTGTAACAAGTTCAACACGTTTTTTTGTATATTACACTGCTTTGTTCACTGTTTTAAAAAGTGTAATCATGGGGTCCATTTGTTTTGGAGAGGAGGAGACCTCTGAAGATAATTCTGCTCCAAGTAAAAACCTCCTGAACATCTGGATCTAAATTTATCAGAAAAACCAGCTAAGCTAACGCTAGCCCAACCAATCCTCATCAGAGAGACAGTGATATTTACTGTGAAACTGCCTTGTTAACTGTTTTTACCACTTCAAATAAGCGGTTTTGTTTGTTTAAGAGAGGGCATAATACATCTGGAAACATTTAGTATACAGATTTTTTTTCCGCTTTTACCGTTCTCATTGAACGAGACAAACAGCCAGTTAGCTTAGCCTAGCATAGTTGCTGTAAACAGATGGAAACAGCTAGCCTGGCTCCTGCCCGCACCTCTAAATCTCACTAATGAACTATTTAAATGTTGTGGTTGGTTTATGAAACATTGCAGCGATGCAGGGATGCATGGCTTCTTTGCTTTGAGTCCCATGCACTGAATGTGTTCCCATAAATAATACAGCAGGACAGCCCTTTACACACATGAATGCTGCAAACAGGAATAACGCAGGAATCAAATATTTAAAAAGTATTTTCTCCCTGCAGGGACGAAGTGAAACACGCCATCTGACAAAGTGCTCATGTGGAGAACATCCGTGAAACATACAGCACTCAATCTTGCTGATAACATCTATGAAGTCACCATATACTGTCTTTTTTGCACATTGGAAATAATTACATTTAAAATCTGAGGGTCTGTTGAGGAGGTCTTCTAAAATTAGCAACCATTCATCTTTTATTTTTAAGTTACAATTCATCTCTAACCTTGCAAATAAAGTCTATAATATAATAATTTATAATATTCGTACGTTATAGTAGACTGGACACCATTAAGTTACAGTGTATTTTTACGAAAAAGTACAGAAACAATGTTTTTATTGAATTACATGGAGCTTTTTAATATATCTACACAATCAGAGGCATCCTTTGAAACAGAATTAAGGAACATAATACAACTTTATTTGTATTTATAAACAAATGACCTTATTTTATGATTATGAGAACAAACAACATTGATTATACACCATCCTATCATATTTAAAGCACTAAAACAATACTATGTCAGTGGTTTTATTATGTTTTGACTGCTGCAAATATTCACCTTATATTATTTAAATCACCTAGTAATAAATCCCGTGACGTGAGATGTGTTGCCTCCGTGTCGCTGCATGTTGAAGGCGAGGACGTTGGGAGGAAACTCACCCTCGTTTCCTGTCGTCTCCCAAAAACTGATGGTGACTCTGCCTGGTAACAGCAGAGGCTCCTTAAACTGAGCGGAGACTTTAACAGGAGCTGTGATGACTCCGACACCTGAAGATACAACAGAGCAATGGGCGGACATTTTAACCTTTTTTGTGGCAATCAAGTGACAACACTATGGAACAGTTGCACTATTATAGGCTAGCGCTCCAACACATTGTACATGATAGGCTAAGGGGCGGGACATCTCTAAGCAGTTGACCAATCACAACAGAGCCGGCCAGCTAACCAATCAGAGCAGACCAGGGCTCTGGTTTCAGACAGAGGGTGAAAAGAGGTGCTGCAGCACAGGCAGTATGAGAAAAATAAAGAGCTTTTTGAACATTAAAGCATGGAGACATGTCCCAGTAGAGACACTACATACTGATATACACCTGAACATCATCAGGAGAGGACTCTTTAAAGTAGAGACACTACATACTGATATACACCTGAACATCAGCAGGAGAGGACTCTTTAAAGTAGAGACACTACATACTGATATACACCTGAACATCAGCAGGATAGGACTCTTTAAAGTAGAGACACTACATACTGATATACACCTGAACATCAGCAGGAGAGGACTCTTTAAAGTAGAGACACTACATACTGATATACACCTGAACATCAGCAGGAGAGGACTCTTTAAAGTAGAGACACTACATACTGATATACACCTGAACATCAGCAGGAGAGGACTCTTTAAAGTAGAGACACTACATACTGATATACACCTGAACATCAGCAGGAGAGGACTCTTTAAAGTAGAGTCACTACATACTGATATACACCTGAACATCAGCAGGAGAGGACTCTTTAAAGTAGAGTCACTACATGCTGATATACACCTGAACATCAGCAGGAGAGGACTCTTTAAAGTAGAGACACTACATACTGATATACACTTGAACATCAGCAGGAGAGGACTCTTTAAAGTAGAGACACTAAATACTGATATACACCTGAACATCAGCAGGAGAGGACTCTTTAAAGTAGAGACACTACATATTGATATACACCTGAACATCAGCAGGAGAGGACTTTTTAAAGTAGAGACACTAAATACTGATGTGAACCTGAGAATGAGCATAAAAGGGCCCCTTTAAACAAATATATGCATCACATCTCTTTTACCTTTGTGTTTTTCTATCTCAGCCATGCAGACAGACAGCATCCAGAGACTCGGGGCGGTGATCGATCTGCAGCCAAAGAGCCGGAGGGGCGAGAAAAACCAAACACTCTGCAGGCCGCTCATCCTGGAGACTTTCAGATCTACCTGCTTCACGTTTTCTGCCACACACTCATCTGGTTGGCCTGTTTAAAAGAGCAGAAACAGGGAGGAAAAACAGAAGAAACAGGATAAACAGTATGCGTGACATTTACGCACTTTTCAACTGATTTTGCAATTGCAATATGATTCACAATATAGTATGGACTGGTCATTTTTACATCATAATTCTCTTTTTTGTTGATAAATATATTAAAATGATTATGGTGTGATTTTTAGCGGGGAGGATCTGTACCAAAAAAATTATGTTAAGTAGAATATGAATTGTAGGCTGTAGCTCCACAATACTTCAACAAGAGGTGGGAGAAGTACTCAGATCTTGTTCTTGAGTAAAAGTAGAAGTACTCAGGTCTTGTACTTGAGTAAAAGTAGAAGTACTCAGGTCTTGTACTTGAGTAAAAGTAGAAGTACTCAGATCTTGTACTTGAGTAAAAGTAGAAGTACTCAGGTCTTGTACTTGAGTAAAAGTAGAAGTACTCAGGTCTTGTACTTGAGTAAAAGTAGAAGTACTCAGATACTGTACTTGAGTAAAAGTAGAAGTACCAGAGTGTAGGAATACTCTGTTACAGTAAAAGTCCTGCATTCAAAATGTTCCTCAAGTAAAAGTAGAAAAGTATTATCATCAAAATATAGTTAAAGTAGCGACAGTAAAAGTATTCATTGTGCAGATTGGTCCATTTCAGAATAATATATATGATATGTTTTATAATGATTGATCATGAAAGTGTTCTCAAAGCTGGTAAAGGTGCAGCTAGTTTGAATGACTTTGTATACTGCAGGGTAGCTTGTGAATTTACTCCAGGTGGAACTAAAGTCTGATTTAACACTTGATTATATTTCACATCATTCATCCACATCTGTAAAGTAACTAAAGGTATTAAATACATGTAGTGGAGTAAAAGTACACCATTTACCTCTGAACTGTAGTGGAGTAGAAGTACAAACAAATACAAAACCAGCTGATTATTGTGCCAGATTTTTTCTCACATGTGTCTTCCCTCTCAGATGGGTTTCTGCAGGTTTTGTGCGTCTTGTTTCCTGACAGCAGAGTGAGGACGCTCTCCCACACGGGGGTCCCGGTACGAGAGGCGGCCAACAGACAGACGTCCACCTCCACCCCGACATCGAGGCTCCGGTACTGCAGGACTCGAGCCTGCAGAGAGAACGGACCTTTCTTCAGTTCATCCACCGGCTGCAGGGTCTTCAAACTCTGATGCACACGAACCAGACCTGCAGGAGTCATTCACAATATCTCTTATAAATTATTATTATATTATTATTATTAATCTCAGATTAAGTATTAAAGGTCTCCTATTATGCTATTTTTAGGCATATATTATGGGTCTCAGATATATAAAAGAATATAAAAATATGTCTCTGATGTGTTTTTTGATCAAAATACCAAACAGGTCATGCATTTTAGACATCCCTCTGTTTGCCCTGTTAGAGAAACGCTGATTCTGGGTCCTTAGCTTGAAAAAAAAAAAATCTGATTTCTACCAGCAGATACTCAGCTAAATGCTGCCGTGATTAAATCAAATCAAATCAAATCAAGTTTTATTTATAAAGCACATTTAAAAGCGATTTTTGGTCGAGCCAAAGTGCTGTACATGTAATAAAAACACATTACTACAATCACAATAAAAGACAATAAATTACAACAGATATATATAAAATAAAAATAAATAAAACACACGGAAAAGTCAGGAGTCGTGCTCCGCTCTAACTAGAAAGCCAGAGAGAAGAAGTGTGTTTTTAGTGTAGATTTAAAACCCCCTAGGGTCTGGGCCGACCTCACATGGAGGGGCAGAGTGTTCCAGAGCCTAGGGCCAGCTGCTGCGAAGGCTCGGTGCCCTCGGGTTTTAAGCCTGGTTTTGGGCACTACCAGCAACAGCTGGTCAGCAGACCTTAAAGCTCTGGCTGGGGTGTAGCGCTGGAGGAGTTCAGCTATATAGGCCGGAGCCAGCCCATTTAGTGCTTTAAAAACAAATAAAAGGATTTTAAAATCAATTCTGAACCGAACTGGAAGCCAGTGTTGTGAGGCCAGAATTGGGGTGATGTGGTCGCGCTTTTTGTGGCCAGTCAGCAAACGTGCAGCTGCGTTTTGGACTAGCTGCAGGCGTTTAATTGAGGCCTGGTCCATACCCACATACAGAGCGTTGCAATAGTCCAGTCTCGAGGTTACAAAGGCGTTAATAACCCTTTCTAAATCTTTAAAAGATAAATACGACTTGGTTTTGGCCAATAGTCTTATTTAAAAAAAGCAGGATTTGACTACAGTGCTGACCTGCTTGTCGAATTTAAAAGTGCTAGTGAAGGTCACTCCAAGGTTCATGACCGAGGGGAGGATGTTTTTTTTGAGAGAGCCCAGAATATCAACCGGAGAGGCTGGAGGTTGGGGTCCAAAAAAGATGACCTCAGTCTTGCTCTCGTTGAGGTTGAGAACGTTTTTGCTCAGCCAGGATTTTATCTCTGTTAAGCAGTCCATCAACTGCTGTAGTGAGTGATTAAACACCATCATGTTCCAAACCACATCAAGGATTATTTCTGAAACAGTATGGAGCTCAAACTCTTTTTCTCTCTCAGGTTTACCACAAGGCGAGTTCCTTTTTTTATTTCCTGCTTTTTTACACATGCTCTCTCCAGTAGGCCTATAGGTTAGCTCTGAGTGTTAGCGATAAATGCTAATGTAAACAAAGACCATATTACGTCCAAAACAGTCAGGCATTGTTTCTGATAGCAACGTTTCTGATAGGGCCGTGGGTGTAACGCCAGCCTACATTTCAGATATTATGTCATATCGGACGCAAATCTGGATCAGCTCCGTTGTTCCCCCGTTTTTAGAGATTTGGGTACGGGAAAAGAGAGAGGGTTTTGTTTTCTGACGCTGCGTGAGTTCCCTGACACACCGGGGACACATATTTATTTATTTTGCATGATAGGTCCCCTTTAAGTATTACATATATGTTGTTATAGTTTATGAGACATCTGCAAAACACCAGCTGAAGCTATCACCTTAAATATCAGAATATTCTTGATGTGTTTCACCTGCTGGGCTGAGTCTGAAGTGCTGGTCTGTGATCAGCGTCAGCAGCAATCTGCGGCAGAGAACCTCGGGGAAACACAGAGGAACGTCTCGGTAGTCCGAGTCCGGATAATCCCAACCATAACCTGCAGCGCCGCAGAAACTCCTCAACAGGGGGGTCTGCAGCCTGGGGAATACAGTCAAAGGCAAGAAGTAACAACTTTAAACAATCATTTTCAACTGACATATTTAATTTGTGGTAAGAATTAACCATTTAACTCAATTTATTATATATGTATTCAAGCATCTAATGGACCAATCTGCACAATGACTACTTTTACTGTCGCTACTTTCACTATATTTGTATGCTAATACTTTTCTACTTTTACTTGAGTAACATTTTGAATACAGGTATTCCTACACTCTGGTACTTCTACTTTTACTCTAGTACGAGATCTGAGTACTTCTACTTTTACTCAAGTACAAGATCTGAGTACTTCTACTTTTACTCAATTACAAGATCTGAGTACTTCTACTTTTACTCAAGTACAAGACCTGAGTACTTCTACTTTTACTGAAGTACAATATCTGAGTACTTCTCCCACCTCTGATCATGATGCATTTCTTTTTAATCCCATCATATGTAAACTGACCTGCAGTTGAGCACAGTGTAAACTACATCCGGCTGGTTTGTAGTTTCTTTGCTCAGGAATCCCGTCCTCTGAGCCACAGCTTTGGTCAGATATTTGATGTAAAGAAACAGAAAACTTGGAAGCCTCTCCTCGTAGAGAACATGAGTTTTTAACGACTTGTAGGAGCTGTAAATGTGAACATAAACGATATACACACAACACACAGAGAGCGAGGAAACCACGTAACTCTGCGCATTGCCCATTATAGCTCAAAAATAATAAATAAAGAGGGTTTAATAAGTATTACTACATATTAAATCACTTTGTAAATCTGCAGAATAATGTAAACACAAGGAAAACATGTCGCTGTCAGAAGTACGGAAAGTGAACAGGGACAAACAACACGCCGTTGCACAGTGAAGTTAGTTTCAGGTTGGATCATCCAGCGTCACTAATGTTTATTTTTGCCTCCATGCTAACTTGCCAATTCTGGTAAATAATAATGCCAAAAAAGTACAATAAATAGGACTTAGGAGGCACAGCTTTTTTTATTATTGTTGTGTAATGAATTTATTTTATAAAAATATTTTATTAGAAGATAATTTAATTTATTTTCAAATAGTTTCTATGTAATAGCAATATTCATATTAAATACAAATCCCAAAATCCAATAGAAAATAACACGACCGCTCTTAAACCATCCACTATTTCAGGAAATGAAAACACATTAGCACACTTTTAGTGAAAGTCTTTAAAAACTCTTTCTTTTAGAGCATTTTAACAATCACATCATGTATACAGAAGTTAAATTACATGTATTCAGTGTATAATTCATAAACATTTTACATTCGGCACCCAGTGAATTGAATAAACATTTTTCATATAATATTTAAACCCTAGGAAAAAGATGTGTTACTTATTCAGCATGTTATTGTACTATTAGGAAGTAGATGGAAATTGACTGTAAGTTCATTATGCCCATTTCTGCTGAGCTCTGTCTTTTTCACAGTTAATTCAATTTTTTAAATATTTTTCATTGTAATGTTCATTTCATATATTAATGTTTCTTGTCAATGCACCGAAAATTCGAAAATCTACTCGGCAATGAACCGGATACTGATTTGTAAATATTGTGCTGTTCAAAACTGGCATCAAATAATATCTAATGTATTGATATTAAATGATAACATTCATATTGAGGCTGACAGGAGTCATGTTGTGATTCAGATGATTCTACAGAAGGCTTCCTGAGGTGATGAAGGTTGTCTCCTCCTCCTCCTCCTCCTCCTCCTCCTCCTCCTCATCCGAACAGAAGCAGCAGCACTATGCAGACCGCATTCACCGCAATCAACGGCACTGCAGAGGAACAGACAACAGAGGATTAAAACCAGGGCTTCTTTCTTACTCAGTTACATTACCAGCATTTGTGAAGTTGAGTTTAAGATAAGATGTAACTTTATTTATCCCCTTGGGGAAATTCAGGTGTTTATAGCAGCAACAGGGTCATAATGAAAAACAGGATTCACATGAGGTTTCTTAACCTTCTTTCAATAATATACCTGTGCTGACCCCTGCTTTAATCCTCCCTGCCGTGTGTGAACCTTTAATGATCCTCCCTTTTGGTCTATCATTGATCAACACTGGGGGTTAAAAGCTCGATACAGTGTCTCGCCCGCTCTCTCTGCTGGCTGAACTCTTTCTAGAGAGCAGCTACCTTCGTATGCTTTTGTTTGGTATTGTTTTGGGTTCTGCATAAAACACCTTGCACTACATCATAGTCACACATCCACACCGACACTACTGATATATCACTGACTCTTACTGCTCACTTTGGTAGCTTCCTTTGTCTATTGGTTTAATTATAATAAATACTTTTCTTTAAACTGTGTCCTTTTCCCATTGTGGCTTTTATTGTGGCCATTGAAAATATATGTTAAGCCAGTTTACCAGCGCAAAACATTTTTTGGGTAGCAAAGAAAAAGGCATATATAAAAAAGGTAAAATGCAGTGATGTACTATCAGTGTCTGATTCACAAACCAACAAACTTGTTGATAAAAAAGCATGTGATATCACTAAGATGTATTGTGTCTTTTTGATAAGTTGCTCAGAACATTTAGTAAAAAACCTTGGCTTCTTTTCCACTTATATATCTGTACATTTTCCAACACTCTCTTTCTAGATTTTCTCTGTCATTCAATATTAAAACTAGCCTTCTGGTCACATAAAACAAACCTAATTGCGTATAATAATAACAACCATCATACATTTTATTCGGAGGCGCCTTTCATAACACCTAAGGACACCTTACATTTCATAAAATACTTAAAAAAGGTACAATAGAACAATAACATTTAAGGATACAGGGAACATCGGCCACTACATTGATTAGGCTGATTGGAACAGGTGAGTTAAATCCAATATGTAAGATCACATTTGAGGAACTTAATTTTCTTTAATTACTAAGAAACATGACCCTCCTTTCTCCTTTAGGAAACACTGTAGTGTAGTGAACACCCACCTCTCATCACGGTCCTCACGGAGCGGACGAGGGTCATCAGCTGCACTTTGACCCCCGGTTCATCCCCAAAACCTCCGACACTCGTGTCTACTCCCCATCCAACTGAAGGAGGTTAAAACACACAGGTAGATATACAGAAGTGTCATTATAAAGAGGGAATAAAAACATGCTCTGACTGAGACAAATATATACATTTATTTACGTTTTCATCATTTTGTGTGACTTCATTTTTCGATTATTCAACTGCCAATTTATATATATATATATATATAAAATAGATATTTCACAAAACTACAATATGTAAAAGTACAGAGCCTTACCACTTTTAATACAAGTATACATCCTTTTTGTATTTCTTTATAATCTCATTGTACTTAAATTCTACTATATTGATGTTTCGTCTTATTTTTCTTCAATGTTTGCTTTAATTCCCAATGAATTAAATGTATTATTAACACAATCTACACTGTTGTATTACTACTTTTACTTAAGCAAAACATCTTCCAACACTACATAATAAGTGCTTTTACATTTGATACTTTAAGTATATGTTGAAGCTTGCTAATACATTTATTTTATTTTAGTTTAAGGAAGACTTTGAATGAAGGACTACTTCTAGTCTAACAAAAGTAAAATAAAATCGTAGCAATTGGATTTAAACCTCTCCATCACACACTTTAAGTCATTCATCAGGGGCTGGTATAATCCCTCTAAAAACCGATCAATATTTTAAGTTTTTAATTGTTCTAGCTGTCAGGTTACTAGCTAGTTAGCATTAGTTTAGCTTTTTTGAATTTCAACTGACATCTAACTGATAACGGACGGTTATAATTCAAACTACTTCCACTTACTTTTACTCAGAAATCTTTCTTCGTGCAACACAGCGACAGCATTGACGCACAGAATGGCTGCTTGGATGAGAGAATACAAAGTAAAGGCCATGTTGTCTTCACAGTAGCTAGCTATATGCTAACAGTATTTACATCTGACGTAGCCTACGGTGGCTGACAGGGTCAAACCGAGTGACAGCTTGCGCTTCTCACAGAATTATACACAATTTAAAATAATTTTGTATTATTAAATTGAGATATAAAATCCATAAGCAGTAACGTACTGCAGTACAAGTAGTAACACCAGAGTGTGATTTTTTTTAAATTTCGCATTACATTTGATTATAGTAATGAGTCATTACTATAAGCGCTTTATTGTTTACTTTTGTACTACATACTTCCGGGTTGCTTTTGATTATCACAAAAAGTTCAACATATAACTACAGTACACCACAATAAACTAGTTGTTGCTTGTAATTTGTATAAATGAAATTAATCTGAATATTCGAAATATGAGTTATTAAATAAATGGAGTACATGTACTTCAAAATGTGTACTTTTCTTGAGTAAATGTACTTTATATACTTCCCACCACAAATAATAAGGGCTAATTCATCAAAATACTAGTATGAGTACTTGAGGTACTTCAACTTCACTAAAGTATTTTGTTATGCCACTTTCTTTTATTACTGCACTACAATAAAATGACAGATTTACTGTAAACTTACAAGTTAAGTTACAAATTAAGATTTTTGACATTTACAACATAGAGATCTCTGTAAATATATATTTCTAAATAGATTAAACCAACCAATTGTCTACACGTACAGCCTGAATCATTACTAGATTGGACAGAACATTAATTGGCATTTTCATATGGTATTACCTTGTTAAGTTTGCATACCATACATGTGCATAAAGTCATATATAACTAAGTACTCATATGTTATGTATATATTCTATAAGTAGGGGGGAAATGAACTGTATTACTACCCTGTCTTAATTGACTGAATATACAAACATATATCTACAATTAAGAAACACACACAGAATCATGAGAATAAAAATCTTTATTAGTGTTTTATGAAGTCTGCATAATATGCCACACGCCTGAGAAGCTTATGGTCAGAAAAAAAAAGAACTGCTCTATCAATACGGCCCTCTACTGGTAAAACAACTGCGACATCTACTGTACTGACTGCTTTGCAAAAAGATTACTGTTAAATACACACATACTGTACTACTGTTATGTATATGTACGTCTGGTCCACGTTCAGGTTTTGTAATGTCATTTTTTTTTTCACATTCATATGTTGGAGGCCAAAGATAAAAACAATGTAACACTGGACCCTAACACACGGTTCAGTTCCCCAAAATCCAAACGCCACTAGGTGCACTTAAAGTACAATCACTAGTGCCGTAAGGTAAACACATGTACATCAAAAATAAGGGGGGAGAAAAGGGAGGAGGAAGGGGACATGTTATAAACTCGCAACAGCCACATAATGACAAAAAATGGCAGAGTTGAAGCTAATAAGTCTTGTTGTACATACTGTATTTTAACGACAGATACACACATTAACACACACAGGTCTTCTTCTGTAACATTTTAAAAGCCAATTGTTTCTAAGCACCAAAAGGCTACAAGAGGTCACGTGTGTTTCAAAAATAATAATAATAATAATAATAGAAGAGATGACTGAATGAATGGCCATTACAAAGTTTGTTTTTTACATGCCTCTGGAATCATTATAAGCATTACAAGGAAAGGAGTACTTTAAATGCACCAGATTTCTTTGGGAAAAACCAAAAAGGATAGAAACACATCATGTGGGGGCAGTGAGAGGTTTTTAATATCAAGACAAACTAATTTTTTTTTAGGGTAAAACGTAAAAAGGAATGATCCATGCCCTCCTTTTTAGAAACAGCTGTGGTCTTGAAAATATTACTTTAATAAAAAGTGAACGACAGAGAAAATTTAAGTATATTTATATATAAAAATACATGAGAATACAAAAAAGTAGC